CAATAAGAATCCGCTGGGTCTGTTTTGTACACTGTGAGGGCAGCCTTGCAGTGCCATCCCCTGGGGGTTGGCTGGGTGTGCTGGGGTACCCCCTTACCTCCCCCAAAACCCCAGCTCTGGTTTCTCTGGTATGCTGTCCAGTCCAACACAAACATCAGTCACACCTTCTGACCACCTCCATTCAGCACGAGTGTCTACGGGCAAAAGTCACACCTTTCCCTTTTCCCCTAGTTCAGTATATCCCAAGGCGAGAGCTACGCAAGCGCTTCTAGCTCAGTAAATACAGGGCAGGCAGTGGGGTGGGATGTTGGGGTGCAGCGACTCACCCAGGAAGGGATCTCTTGCTTTCCGTCAGCTATGGAATGAAATTCTGGTGTTGTGGAAGGAGAAAACAGCAATCTGCCTCTGGCTAGCGAGCAGCAATATGAATTGAATTCCATCATTACAGAATTCCACCAGTACAGAGCGGTACCAGCTGAATTCTTTCCCGCATGCGCATGATTGGGTCCCCTCTAAACCACAATGCATCTGTGCAAGCGAGTCGGCAGGTTTGGCCTCCAAGCAAGGAGATTGCACAAAGATTGCACAAAGATCAGTACCTGGGAGCCTTGAAGATTTTAAACCCCATAATTAAGCATGTACTTTTATACAAACTGACAGTACGGCTGTTTGAGTCCACAGAGCTGTATTTTAAATAGGGACAGAAGTGCTAGATGAAATGTTCCGGTTTCATATCACACTCATGCACTCACACACACTTCAAAACTATTTTTTTTTTAAACAAAACTGATAAAGTAAAAAAAAAAAAAGTACTACAATCTTCTTTCAACTAAATAATAAAGTTGTGTTTTAACAGAAGTCACCATCCAACTTGGAACAGAATTCCTCTACAACATTATTGGATTCAAGTGATCCCTTCGGCTTATCACATTTGTTCCCTCTGTGCCCACCTGCAGTTAGTTTCTGTAGAGACATTCACTCCTCTCCATTATTTTTCATACAATGTGCTTACTGTGGATTCTTTCAGAGCAAGACTGATTATATTTGCACGGATTTAAGTGTCAAATTCTGGGTGAAATGCTTAAATTTTGTTACAGAATTATCTGAACTTCATTAGAGCTTTTCTGACCCTTTGCAGTGACACAGACATAAAGGTACTCAACTCAACTCGCTGGAGAGTACTTGAAGCGCCAGGAATTTTGTTCCACTCAGACGAGTTACTCCAGCAGCCTGAATGACAGAAGCGAGGCAGGAAAATCCCAAGTTGAAACTCAGCAAAAGGACTTGATTAGACCCACTAGGTAAACAATAAATAAGCTTATTAAGGTCAACAAGAATGAACACTAACAGGCTAGCAGGAGTGAAGTAACGAGGTGCACATCATGCACAGGCCCCCTTACCCATGTCATCTAAACACGTGTCATCATTTAGGAAACATAACTTGTTAACCTTTGCAGCAGCAGGAGGGAAATGGAGAGCTGCAGGCCTTGCTAGGTCCCCATCATCAACCCCTTCCATACATCCCGAGGAGCATCAGCAGCACCATATCTAGAATAAGCTCTCCGAGAGAAGGGTTTGTGATGACAAAAACACACAAGCCACCCCTCAAACTGCGTTTTGTGGAAGGCAGCCTTCTCCACCGAGAGGCAAGGGTCATGAAGAGGAAAGGGTACCGCAGGTTTTCCCACACCAATGCTCTTCTCTTGGCTGACTGCAGCTATTTCTAGCACTCTCGATTAGATCAGAGAAGTTAAATAGGTTTCCTCAAGTTCAAGGCAACAGCAGTGTTTCTTACAATCATTTCTTTCTTTCCCCACAACGGAAAATGGTTACCTGCAGGCAAGATGTTGTGTTGGCAACAGCACAAGCAGGTTATTTTTGGAAGAGTACTTGTGTGGGTTTCTGCACTTTTGAGACCTCCAGATTTTTAGGTATACGTGAAAAGGAGGAGGATGTTTCAAGACTGGGACGGGTAGATTTCTAGTCACAAAAAAAGTAAATTCGGTCATCAGCAGTGGCAGGAGGCCCCATTTGAAAAACGTGAAGAGGTAACAATGCTCAATGATAAAACAGCCTGGACCCTTTGTCAGTGTCGTACCTTTAAGAGGTGGGTCTGTGTTCTTACAGTGACAAAGGGCATCCAAGGGAATCATGCAGAAATTTATTTAGTATCCTACCTTTGCTTCAGAGGGCCTCCAGACACGTACCTATAACACCATCCCAGAGCACCTGCACTGAAACCGAATTCCCAGGTGAGCCTGCTGACATGTCAGAAACACCACTGACCATAGACTAACACCACTGTAGACCACAGACTCCTAACGCAGCGCTCCAGGCACCCTTACCATAACCTTCTCCAAATTAAAAAGCAAAAAAAAAACCAAACACCCACAAAGCCCTATACCTGTAAGTAAAGAAAGTCACCTTCTGAGCTGAACAGGGTTTACATTCAGAACTATGGCTACAAACCTACAATTTTCACTGCAATGTCTTTTGGAATTTAGTGGAAGATGCTATTTCTAGACAATAAACCATCTAATTAGGCTTTTCAAGCTAATCAGGTTACAAAACGCCTTTTCAAAAAGTCACAACAGTTTAACAAAAGCCCTCCGATAGCAATTTAATTATGCCTGATAGACATTTCGAGAAGCAGGACTCGTGCCAAGCAAGTAAGGCTGCACAAAGATCCCACTTCCCTTGCCGGCAGCTCTGCGAACACACCCATCTCTACAGCAGTAATTTCAGCACTCTGTCAAGTGAAACAATACACACTTTTAATTGCCAAACTAACATTTGTGGTGTTATACACCTGCGCTACCTCAGACGTGATCAACCGTTCCTCTTCTGTTCCACTTCACATTGACAGAGGGCCAGTTAAGCTCTGTTAGCATCAGGGAAGAGGGGTGAGAGAAAATTCAGGCTTAATTTCTGCTCTACCTAACCACTTAGCTGCAATCCTACCATGCACTAATTCTCCGCTACCTCAACAGACGTGATCAACCATTCCTCTTCTGTTCCACTTCACATTGACAGAGGGCCAGTTAAGCTCTGTTAGCATCAGGGAAGAGGGGTGAGAGAAAGAATTCAGGCTTAATTTCTGCTCTACCTAACCACTTAGCTGCAATCCTACCATGCACTAATTCTCCACTGAACCTTCATTGCTCAGACTTTTGCTACTGCTTGCCTTGTGTTCATAATACTTTGATACAAAACCAGAAGCATTTGTGGAAGATTCACTAGCATAGTAAGTCCAAAACCATAGCACTAATACTTTGCTGTCCATCCTCAGAGTGGGATGAAGGTACGTTTGCAAAAAGTTCCAACTGCGGCAAAAAGCTCACAGTATTTTGCATACGCCATTCTGTACATGCAGAAGCATCAGAATCAGCTGGTCCACGCTCCATAGTGTCTCAAAACCACCTCCACTGTTCTTCTAGAGAACAATGCGGAAAACTGGAAATGTCAGGTCTTACCTAGCAGTGCACTAAATGGGAAAATAAAGTTACGGTTCAAGCATCAGCCTAAGTTGGACAGTTTCAGGCACATGATTTTTACCGCAGCACACGCAGGTGAGCATATCTAAAAGGCGAATGAAGTATATCCTACTGTACACATGGACTCTTGTGTAGTCACTTCGAGATTGCACCAACACACTCCACGTTTCAGCCAAAGCACGTGGCTTATGAGCTCCACGCCTCCTTGTACTTGAGGAACAAAGACGATGGTAAGAAGCCGCCACAACTACTGGCGCAGCTTTTCTAAAACACCTTCTTTGGGCTCTTGGGTATGAGTATCAGGTTCTGGAAGTGTAACTATGTACAGCGTGAGTGCACACATCAATGGTAAGAATGTGAAAGCTACTTCCCTTAAAGATTCAGACATTTCTGCCTTTCATACAACACTAATCCTCCTCCCATCCACTCCTCCTCAGCCTTCTGGACCAGCACCTGTGTCCTACATCCCAGGAAATGCCAGTTGCCACTGCTATCAACTGTAGTTGTGGAAACAAAACCCAACTCTTCGGTGCTACCATTGAAATCATTAAGACCCTGACAGGCCAGTTACAAACCACTGCACTAGCCTGCAAGTAATCGTTTTACAGGTAAGAGCACGTTGAGCGTTCAGTCGCTTTCTGCATTGCTGACAGAGCACTGTACTGCCAGCGTGTCAATACCATCTGGAGATAGTTAATTCAGAAGGGTAATAGCTTAGCAGCAGCGAGGTAAAATAAAAGGAGTGTTAGAATTTTACTGCATCTTTGCTAATGAAAAAGTTGACTGAGTAACTGATCAGGGCACTTAACGCCCACTGACAGCAGCACTGTACACTACTGACAGGCTCTACATGCCTCGCGTCTACACCATGTCTTTAATCTACGGAAATACAAGTTGTACAGCTCACATGAGTATTTGATCCTGGTCAGTATTTTATTCTACCTTGTGAGTGGCAGAGGAAGAAAGGAAGGACATCTTTTCAGCCAAAAAAATCCACAGTCACAAAAGCAGGATATTCACTAGAAGATGACACCAGTGACTGGTGTCCTTAGGTTGTCCAAGACTATGCTCTGAAGATGCTTTACATAAGATGAGCAAGATGTCCAAAACAAGGCCAACTGTGGTGTAAGATGCAATTTACCCTTTAATTTCCTGCCTCAATTTCACCCAGCCACAGAGGATGACTAGATTTCAGTATGAACCATTACCTAAATCATATAGTCGGTATGCAGATATATGTCTTTCTTTAAAAATTTACTTAAAAACTGCTTGAGCTGCAGGTCATACCAGTCTGATTTGGAGAGTGAAGGCAGTTCCAACAGTACAATAGAGACTTGTCTACAGGCAGGTAAACGAGAGTCTGCTAACAAAGGGGTAACAAAAGCTGCTGGCTGGGCTGCCAATGTTGCACACAAACTTTCATAGGATGAAGATGCTGTGGATGAGATCCAGGATGGGAAAACTGAGCCAACACCTGCTGCTGTTCTAATTTTTTTTTTTTTTCTTTTTTTATTCTCCTCTCACAAGAGGGGGTGGGTAGACTATACAGAGGAGGCCTGTACAAAACTGGGCACTGGGCAGGCATTTCTTCAGCAGGCAATCCAGGCTCTACCTGTCCTTGAGCTCTCTTGTCACCCGCTTGGTGATGCGTCCACACATCAGGCCGATCAGGAAGAGTACACAGATGCCAACCGTGATCACAGATAGTATGTAATTCTTGGACGGAGAGGTCATAACTTGCATGGCAAGGTCAGAAAAGCCTTCTGCTGGGGCAACCTGGAGGTGAGAAGGGTTATAAATGAGCCAAGCTGCACTTTCCATGCAACCCTCAGCCTTAGCATTTATCAGGTCTAGTCTTGGGTGCTGCTATTGCCTCCTGTCAACATCAGACTTGGCCTGATCCACAACCAACCAAGGCCTGCAATGATTCATCTGAAGGAACTGCTGCTCAGGAGACAGCTTTGTAACAGGAAATTCTGCTGACCCTATTTCATCGACCCAGACCTTCCCTACAGGAGACCAAGCCCTGTGTGCACAAAAACCAGTTTAATTCTGCACCGTTGAGGATGCATCTCAGACACTGAGAAAGATACACAAGTTCAAAAAAGAAGACCTGATTTCAATTTTTCAGGACCAAACTCAAAATGTTAAACTTCGTTCAGAGAAGAATTTCACTACAGTTGAAGTTTTTCATAAATAGCTTGCAATAAAAGGTCCCATGCAAAAAAAAAAAAAGGAAATCCTTTACACATTCACCTTTGCGGCATAGCTCCACATTTCAATACGATCATTAAGGCGTTTCTTGCATTCAGGCTGCAACCTCACACGTTTATCTTCCAGAGCTTCCATTAAGCACGACATTTCTGTAATGCACAGAAGATGGTGTTACAAAATAGAAACAGTGGCTTCAACAACATGCTATGGAAAGGGACACCTCAGTTCTCCTAACGGCTGACAGTTACAGAGCTTTCTAAACAGACTAGCCAGCCTGATAAGACCGTATACAAAGCCCTGTTGTACCCCTGAAGCTAACAATTTCAATAAGATTCAGGATTAATATTGCATTTTGAGACACAAGGAATTCTGACTGCCAAAAAGAAATTACAGTACCTATCGAACATGTAATTCATGCGATGCACATGAGATTTTATGAAGTGTTAAAAATCTGCACCTTCAATAAGCTGTAGTTTAAATTCCATGCCACTACCCTTTTAGGGGGAACCAAGATCAAATTCAGCTCAGGAAAAAACACAGTGTTATCTCCTTAGGTTTGTTAAGAGTTTCTTTTGATCAACAACATATTTTGGAAAGGTTTAACTTCCCAAGTTTTCACACAGTTCTGTGAAAAGGAAATAATGGGATCATAATGTTCTGGGTGCCTATGGAGCAGCTTGGCTAATGCAAGCTCTTTTATACGCTCATAAGACACCGACATAAAATTCTGTATTTTATGCTGCCTTACTTGAATAATCCCTAATTGGATGCTTTCTGCTTTGCAGTGAAGAGTTGTTTTGTTCATAGCAAAAAGGCTACCAGCTTTAAACTAACTCCATACTTTTTAAACACAGTTCAAATACTCAGATGCAGATCTCTCTCTAAGCTACAAAATTCTGCATACCTTCAGTGCAAACACACCAGAACACACATCAAAAGAATTATGACAAAACAGGAATAAATAAAGGATATCCAGAATTTCAGAAAGGCATTCAGTAATCATCACTAAAGATAATGATCAGGAAAATACTTGGCTGCTATTTTTAATGCCGGATAAACTCAGAAGGATGGGAAAGTTCAGAACCTTTTTCCCCACTAGCTTTCCTTAAACAGTCATACATACTACCCAGTTAGCTAACGTAATAGCAGCAACAAAGTGCAAGGGCTTGACCTCAAACAGGAAAAGAATGGGTTAGGAAATATTTAAACAAATGATGTTTTAAGTGGTCTGAACCTGTTGAACTCAGTCTTGGAACAGTGTATGAAGCCTCAAAGCCTTTAGCTGCTAAGTGAACCTAGAAAGTACGTTTAAGCAGAGAAGAAAAAAAAAAGATCAAAGGACCTTAGTTTAATTTAGTCTGTCAGAAACACTGAAACAAAGAAGCCAACCATGGACAGGGACTGACACAACGGAAGAATGACCAAGGGGATTAGTTAAGAATGACTCTTGTGAAACGAAACTGATTTGCTTCTGTAAGAGAAGCAGTTTAGTTCTAGGAAAGCTTTTGATACAGTCTGATAAAACATTGTCATAAGTAAGCCTGGGAGCTGTATCTTGTGTGAAGCTGGTAGAGGGTAGGAGATAAACATCACTGAAAAATGAGTCCATGTACTGTACTGCATGTGTATTAAGAGCTCAATTTCAATGGGATTTAACTGAGGAGGGATTTTATAGAAGGGTTACAGATCTAGTATCGCACACTACTGTCAGTAATCATATGAATGATGGAACATAAAACATACTTGTTAAATCTGCAGATAAGTTTGCAAGGATATCATATCAGGATTGAAGAATAGGTCCCGTGCCTTGGACACAAGGAAGGACTTCTTGATACCCATCTTCTAGTGGTATCTACCACCTCTGCAGCTGTTCTACCTTATTACCCGCAAAGGACTGGTGGAAATATCTTGCACTTAAGATAATGCTGGCAAGAAAATGCAGCTTAAGGCTCTCAGGACTAAGAGGTTATACAAGTAAAGCATGAGCACTTACGGCGTCCTCTCCCTGGTGGAATGGCAGCACAGTGGTGTTTGATGTCTAGGGCACAGGCTGTGTGGAGCACCGGGTCAACAAATATATCTGCTTTGCTTTCCTTCAGCATGTTGAGCACTTCCTGAGGAGGGGGAAAATTACACATCTCTCAAAAAAAGGAGAGAGAACAAAACTCATACTGCTCAACATTTCTGAATGGTGCATCACCATTTTAAATCCAGGATCATGAGAAAACCCACCACCGTCCCTGGAAGAGGCTATGAATGCCGGTTTAGGTCAGATTAAATGTCCTGGTCTACACAGGTTACCACAGTTATGTTCATTAAAATACCCATATTAATCTAAAATACAAAGTTAATATGCCAGAGTTACTTCAGTTAGAACTGAAACAAGGTGCCATAGCCAGTGCCTAGGCCATACTCAGCACCAGGGAAGCCTGCCACAGAGACAGCAACAGAAAACAAATTAGTAACCAGAAACTCTAGTAATCATAATCAAGAAAAGATTCAAGCCTGGAATTGCAAAGGAGGTATTGTTGGCACAATTTTCACTGGCAAATTGAAACCAAATTGAATCGCTGCAGGCCAGAACTGAGATGTGTAAGGAAATTTTTAGAGCTCTGGCTTCATACTAGCTAGAACGTGGCCTGGGCTGTGATCTGGAAAAATCACTGACTTCTGCAGGGATGGGATGCCTTTTACAGTACATTCAATTTATTTCCTTTACCTTCTTGCACATTTCAGTTTTTATTTTCAGCAGATTCACTTTCAGACATTCTTCCACCTGCCCAGTCTGCTCCTGAGCTGCTGCTTCTTCTGCACACAAGCTGGAAATCTATTTTGAAAAAGTATTTTAACATAAGTTGTTCACTATAAGCATTCTGCCTTTTAGCACATTTGTATCTCAATACATTAGTTCATCACAGGGCGCTGCTAGAGGACACATGATGAGATACTTTGTGCCTTTCGAGCCAAACGCAGCCTGGCTCATGCAATATGTATACTCTTTGTAAGCCAACAGCAAGAAGTCAATATTGCTGTACTGAGGAGGAAGGCAAGGAGGAAAACAGGATAGAAATAATGTTAAGATATGAAATAAGCAATACCTGAGGCATGGCTGATTTGGCTATTAAAAGTGAAAGCTCAAAAAATCTGACTGTATTCCAGTTAAGGTTGACAAGACCAGAGAACACACACACACATTTTTTTACAACAGGAAAGCAGTATTTTTCCATAGTCACACGTACTGATGAGATCCCAGATGAAAAAATTAACTTCATGTTGGCACTGCACAGGAAACCATAATTATTGCACACCGGGCAAAAGTCACAAGCAGAGAACATGACTAGCTAGAAGTAGTTGGAAGAGGGCTTTTTTTGTTTCAATTATCAGGAGAGTTCATGTTTTAAGAAAGAAAAAATCTGTTACATGAACGGACTTCATGAAACACGAAGGGAGTATTCATCCTGAAAAGGCAGCTGCGGAGCTACTTCTCCTACCTCTTCAGAGCAGTGCATCTGAAGTTGGGGATCCAGCCGATAATCAAGAGCCGATTCCTGGATTATCACTCGAATTTGGTCCTCGCAGTCTGGAGAGAGACGCTATTAAGCGGAGAAAGTCATTAAACTACTCAATGATCTTTATTTTTATAAATCAATCACCTTGCATTTTAACCTGTGTATTCTGTAATACTTGTATAGGAGCATAAAAAACCATTTACGTACAGCCTGTTATATACACTGAACACACAAGCCCAAGTTTGATTTGTTATTCAATGACTGTTGCTCAGCACAACCCTGCACAGTTTCTCATTTGCATGCACCAGCTCTACTCACCTGGTCTGCATATTTCAACTTCAGGCATGAGATGACTTGTCCTTCCAACTCTGTATCATCCTTGGCCCTGTTCAGGATATTTTGGCAGAATTTTGGTATGTCTGCTTTGCAGGCCTTCCTGAGAACTGGATTTAAGCGGTAATCTAACCAGGAAAGATGACAGAACTTCATTAGAGTACCCATCTCTTCAGATTACAGAACATAACACTCCATAAGAGATTTGACAGAAATTTCCTGCATGACATTGTATCACCAATCAATTTAATTTTGGGGAAAAATAAGATTCTGTTGTGAAAAAATACTAACTTGTGAGGTAAGAGCTTCAGGAATAAAGGGGATCCAATAACGCATGCTGACGCTCAAGAATTTGGCTGAATAAAGTCAGTGTGTGCACTGACAACCATGCAGGAGAATAGAACAAAGCAAATATTCTTCCAGCCATGCAGACCACTCAACAGCTCAGGTAGCAGGTAGGCAGGTTAGGGTTTTTTTTGGTTGTTTTTTTTTTTTTCAGAAGACAATACCTGTGTTCTGTGTAATCTGACGCTTGGTAATCATTTGCTTGCATTTAGGATCCATCACTTCACTGTTCTTGTTTTGTTTCAAACACTGCAACATATTTTTTGAGTCTGCTTCTGGACAAAACCGCTACAAAAAAAACCCAGGACACCCAAGTTTCATCACTAAGCACTTGGAAAAAAAACCCAAACAACTATATTCATGGAAGAGAATAAGCACATGCCCAACCCAGAGGTATACAGACACACTCCCTAGCCCCAACTCCCATGCTTTTGTTAGAAGTATGAGTCAGTACTGGAGAGCAATAAATCCTTAAGATGTTCTGATTCAGCCACAATACAGAGTCAGAGTACTGCGTACAGACCACACATACTAGTGTTTCAGGGCCTGCAATTCTGGCTACTGTGGAACAGTGTCTTGCATGAATATTCACTATTGCTTTCCATTCAGTATCACTTGAAGCCAGCATTTCTAATCTTAAGTTTTGCATGATTTTGCCTGCTTTATCAGTTTGATGAAAGTCTGTGTGCATCAGGTCAGCAGTGAACTGAAGACATTACTCCTCTGTGTAATGATAACTTCTTCACCTTTGCTAAAAGCCGATCCAAATCCAAAATAACCAGATGAAAACTGTATTAGAAGCCTCAGCACAGACTTCCTCTTCAATTCTGCTGGCAGTTAGGAAGAAATTTATTAGTCCACAGGCTTTGATCAGATATTTGGATGAAGTAAAGTTGAAAGAGAAGGGCCCTGAAGAAACCTCAGCCTGATTCAGAGTTAAGAAACTAATTACTTTGCAAAAAAGCAATCATACTTCTGAAACAATACAGCAGTCTTGTAGCAAGCCTTTATGGCTCAAAACTGACAGAGGTCTTAATATCCCAACCTCACCCTCTTAAATCAGCACATTACCCTTACCTTGATCATCTGCTTGCAGACTCTCATGAGTGTGTAGTCCAGTTCTGGATCCATCATCTCTGTCTCCTGTAGTTTAAACACCTTCTGGTGGCACCGGGTACTTAACTGCTTTTTGATTTCTTTCAGGCATTCAATAATCTACAACACAGTATTACAACCGTAACAGACACATTGTTGATACGATTCTGTCATACGCTGCTCAAAACGCACAGCTATGTGTTCCCCTAATGGCTAACTTCACCTGATTTGTGCAGTTACTTTCCCAAGGCCTAGATTTTATCAAGTCATTACCAATGCTTATTTCCAGCACTTGCTTTAAGCTCATCTTCCTTCACAAAAATTTAATGAGATGAAGAAGGTCACCTGGACTTACTCCAAAACCCCAAACCTCATCTTGCAGACATTACACCTAAGAAATCTTTACCAACATTTGCAGTAAACAGCTGCTAATAGTTTAAAACTAGCATTAACTGAGGAATTAATTACTCATACCATTGCATTCACCTGGTATCAACGCTTGTGAACCAGTGGAAAAAAATAGTTTCATCTGCCAAATACTGATCAAAGATTTCAGTAATATCAAAATGAAAATCTAAATAAAGCTGCACTCACAGGGGCAAAAGTGTTCTTCAAAAGTTTTCTGAAATGAAAGTACAAATTAAATGGTAAATTATTAATAAAATCCATTACCTGAGCATTGCCATAGGGCACGTTTTGGCAGTAATTCTTGATGTCACTTTTACAAGCCTCATACAATTCTGGTTCAAGTCTGATATCCTCGGTCTGCAGGATAAATTACAGTATGAACTTTTAAGTACGACCCTAAAGACTATTTTACTTTGTTAATCATTATTTGTTAATCTAGTTGGAGCCTTCTACTCACAAAAAGCAAGTAACTCTCACAACAGGCAGTTCAGTTTCTTTGAATTTAAGGGTCTTAGGTGTGAGAAGTGGTGTTACTGGGCAACCAATTTTGCAAATCCATGCAGCAGATCAGTTGGCTTTTTACACTGAAGAAAAGGTTTAAACCAAATTTTAGAGCTGGTAAGTTGTTTCCACTGCTCCTCCTAAAAGGGCATCAACGCAAACGTCCAAGACAACTAAAATCTTTTCTTGTGAAAGCTAAAGGACATACTAATAGCCACCCATCTATTGGGTGATCTGGAGGATGTGAATGACGTTTCCTGCTTTTAATGATGTCCAACATTTGAATTCTTCCATACAAAGGCAAGAGTGCTGCGTCTTCTGATATGGGCCTACTTAAGGTGAAGCTTTAACACTCAAACAATATCTACTGTACAAAGAGCTCACGAGTTTATGGCTGCAAGCACTGCAGCAGGAAACCGAGAGGCAGCCTTCCCTACTAGAACAAATACTACTCTCATTTATCCATTGAGCAACTTAAAGCAGCTGGAGTCGAGTTGCTTCATCTGTGCTTGTTTCCTCAGCCTGTAAAATGAAGCTTTTATTCTCTTCTAGAGGACTTTAAGGACATCAGCATGTGTAGCACGTTGCTATCTAACACTAAACATAATCACTCCTAGCTGAAATTTCAATGACGATTTAGCTCGCCTTAGCCTTCATGAGACGATATTTAAAGCATTAAAGTAGACAATCATGACTTTCACCATGAAGGGCAATTGAGCCTCACGTTGTAAGAGTGGAAAAAATAAATTAGATACATCTTACAAACGTGCTTCCTTTTTTTCCCTAGGGTGGACAAACCAGGAAGCTTTAACTGAAGGACCTCGCTATAAGAGCCAGCAGATCAAGAGTTTCATGCATGTTTACCATCTCTAGCTCCTCAACACGCAGCTGTTTGCGGCACTTCAGAGAGACTCTGTGCTCCTTGGCATCCTGCAAAGTATCATTGCGCACAGTTGTGCTCAGACAGATCACTACATCCACCCTGCGGGAAAGAAAACAGCTTTTTACTCGTATATCCTTCTCTTAAACCAGCCAAGACTGATGTTGGATCACCACATCAGAGAAACAGACCCCAAGAATCCAAACACAACACATAGTCCTTGTGCAGCTATGCTTACTTCTAGCCTAGGTACAGCTCTATGCAGAGTAAGTGGATCGCAATTAAAACTTAAATCTGATGTTATCTAATTGGAGTCTACATCAGCAGACAGGAAGATATTCAAAATCCCACCACACCTCTGCCCAGCAAGACCTCTGCTCTTCAGCCACATGAGCGCTTTAGAAAAGCCCTACTTAATCTCAGAAACAGATGAAGGTGAATACCTACATGGCATTGCAAACAATCCTTTTGCATTATGGGAAGGGCATTTACATCATAAAATGCAGATAGTCTTGCTATCCATGAACAGGATTAACCTTCTGTGCAATTTACCCTTACGTCATTGCAGTAAGCCATTAGAAAAAAAACCCAAACCCTCTTATACTGAAATGAATAAATCAGCTAAAATAAGCGGGATATTTTCCCTTCCCAGACCAGCAACTGGAACAACAGTAGCCTGCATCTTAGAATATGATGAATCTAGCAAGGATATAAAACATCCCGAGACACACAGTCCGCTAATCATAATCACTAGGTAGTTTCAGAGCAAGAAAAATAAAGAGGACAGGCTTGCATGCAAGATTAAAGCAGAAGTAATTTTGAAGAGGCAGGGAATGCCTCTACTGTAAGCATGTGCAGAACAGAGTCACCAAGGGAAAACACACAAAACAATCAGCCTTTAAAAGAGGTCCAGTGTTTTCTGTCCTATCATGAAATATCCTGTAACTTTATTATATATTTATACAATCAGATTGCTGTTTGGTCAGGTGCTACATACTTTTTTTTGATGTTGGGGCAAAGTTTCAGCACATCCTCCTTGCAAGCCATTTTAAACTTGTACGAGAACCTAAAATCTTTCATTTGAACCTGCAAGAGAGAAATGAGGAAATTTAAAAAACCCAACAAAACAAACAACTTTGGTCACCTGGAGGAAGACAACATGAAAAGTGCTGCCCAAAAGAACACTTGTTGAATCATACAATCAGCAAATGCTTTTGTCCACAACTTATTAATGTGGAAGGAAGGGGGACGCTGCACTGCTGAGGAAGTTGGGGCCCTATCTACTATACACCAGGGAGGAAGGAGGGCCTGAAAATAAATCATCTCCAGAAGTGCCCATTTATGACCAGGCGTGTAAGTACAACTGTCTGAATTCACAAGAGCACTTTAAATTCAGCAGGGAATCAATCTCAAAGAAGGAGGGGTTTCATAATTAGCTAATTCCTGTCAACACACTCAAACAGAACAGGCTTCAACTGATAGCGGAGAAAAGCACTGCTTACCAGCTGGAAATGAGTAACTCCGATTGCACATTTTTCATTCATTTCCTTCTGGTGCTTGTTCTGTATTAGACACTCCATCAGGTCCCCAGAATCAATCTGGTTATCCGCAACCTCCTGAAGAAGAGATGAAAAGCTTAAAAATTAGCTACTCTTACAAATCTTGATTTTTATGCTCCTTTAGCCCACTGTGACCAGGAAATAATGGAACTTACAGTCCCACTCTCTACTGTGAGCTTACACTAACCATTAACTGACCACCCTAGAGCTGTACCACACAACTCTCTCTATAGATACAGTTCAGGAAAGAATCACCTCAGGCACATGCACACTTTAGAGTCAGGAGAACATACTGCAGAGACTCCATGCTTACACGAAGTTATTACAGTTAGATGCCTTCCTTGCTGTTTAACTACTCAATCCTAGAGCAATGTAAGAAGTTATTTCAGCAGTGCTGAGCAGCTGCACAGAGCGGAGTGGCTAGACACACTGCTTGCGGGCAAGGGGGAAGGAAAAAAAAGAGTTTGGTTTTTAACCCACTGTCAAGAGCAATTTTCCCAATTACAGGGCAATTTTCATCTTCAAACTCTAGCTTTTATGCTAGGGCTCTGAAAACTGCGGAAGCAAGAGATGGAATTAAGAATTTTTGGTTTAGGGAGGTTTTTTTTAATTAAAGACTTTTGTAACTGCTTACACTTCAAAAGTAAAATCAGAGTTAGCAAGTACACCAAGAACTAATACTAAAAACCTCTAACTTTTCACACACACTGTTTTTTTTCCCCCCAAAGATATTCACATTATTATGGAGTACTCACATGACAGAACGTCTGGATAATGGGCTCACACGCTCTCATCAGCAAGGCTTCAATTTGAATGTCCTGCAGAAAACATTCAATATTTAATTTGCACAGTGAATGGACAAGAAAAAAGGCTCTGAAAAAAATCAACTGTGATAAGTTAAAATCAACCCAGTTTACAGGGTTTTGAAAGATGCAATCCAGACAGTTTTGCCCTTCAGTTCTGGAAATCCTAGAGTTCACTCTTGCCAACAATGTGGCAAATGCAAGACAAGCCTTCTGGCTTAAGGGAAGAGCCTGGTCTCTGCAGAAACTCATTGTCTGGATAATTCAGCCAATATCCTCTGAACTAGACGCTACAGTACTAGAAATCATCTTACACCTAGGTAGGAGTTAAAAAAGATTTACGAGTTCTGAGCAAAACCATTTTGTAACCACTGGAAGGAAGCCTTCCCTAGGGCACAATGTAAATTTTAAGTATGGGAAACAGTTTGGGGCAAGGTAGTCAAGTATGCAGCTTCATAGAATAAGTAAAGCTGCTGACCTCACTGAAAACCTCTAATGATGCACCTGGCAGCTATTTCTTGCAAAATTTTGGGGATATGGGAGGGAAGCTGCAATATGGTATTCAAAACTACTTGCAAGCAAGACCAACAAATTAAGTCCCATGACATATCTTGACTTGTACTAAAGGTAACTGGGTTACCTGCGCAAGAAATCTTACCTTCAGTACCATAACTGGTTTTTTAAGCAGGAGAAATGTCATCAGCAGCCTAAAATCCTGAACTGTTGTTCACTTCTCTTCCTCAAGAGCCCCCACAACAAAAACTTCTATTGTATGGGCCAAAAAGGATGGTCTCTGTCTGATCTCAGAGAGCTGCACTTCTGCAGCTCCTCTAACCTTGCTCTTTTTATCAAACATCGCACTTAACTAGACATGCTCAACTATTCCCTTTATCCCAGGTTGAAAACTGCTCACCTCGGACTCCAGCTCAGTGAGGTTTCCCACTATGTCTCTGCAATCAGACACCAAGTCATCAAGATGGTCCTGAAGGCATTCCAGCTCCTACAAAACCAGACATTTTAGAGTGTGATCCAAGAATCTAAATTGAAAATCTCGGCTTGAAACATTGTTACACATGTGAAACTGCCCTCCTCCTTGTCAAGTCCTAAATCTCATTTAATCCCACTCCTCTGCTGGCACTCCCAGAACACACATATGTAGCAGTGATTGAGAATGTTGGTCTAAGATGTTACGGTTTGTTCTCAATAGCTGCAGGATGTGCTTTCACTTCTGGAATATCAAATTTAATCTGCTCTTTGCATAACCTTAATGAGAGGTTAATTACTCAAACTACAACCTATGATGGGCACTTCAAAAAGACAAAGACAATGGTGTATGCTCTACTGCATCTGCTGATGAATGGCTCCTTCCCTACAGCTCTGCTAGGGCACAGCAATTTAACACAAAAGTATTTGTTGAAACTTTGTTAAGTAGCAGCAGATGTTAGTTCAGTTCTGTATAAACACAGGAAGCATGTCAGTACTTGCCAAATGGAAATGGGATAAAGTTTACGTGGGAAATGTCAAACTTGTAATAGAATATTACAAATAACAGTCGGGGTGGGATGGGATTGCTTCACTGAAGTCCATCTTGTTAACTATCCTTTTCCTCCTTCTCAGTCCACTATATATTTGAACCTCCTGAAGCCATGCAGTAGGTGCAAAGCTTCTTCCTATCACTTCCGTAGATTATGTTTCAAACCGCACTCATTTTTAATATATTCTCAGCTATAAAGAGACAACTAACAACAAGATGTCCTTTTATCCCCCTTTTTGCCCTTCCTACCCCTCCAGCTTTGCAAACCAAGTAGCAGTGTGACTGTGTCCAGTACCTGCCCTGTCTCTGTTTTTTCACTGCACCACTTCCCTAAGTCAATCATGCACTTGTCCTGGAGGGCTGGGTCCAGCTTCACATCCATCGCACGCTGGTGGAGGATTCTCTGGACCTCTGCTCTGCACTCTCGTGATAGCTGCAAAGAGGGCAAAGAGCATTTAGTATACGGGGTCTCTAAATCCATACAATGCAAACAAGCTGCTGTCGGGTAAGGTCACTGAGAGTGACCATGAGTGTCACCAGTAATCCCAGAATGCACAAAGTCCTGTACTGCTCAGCACGAGCCTGCTGGGGCCCCCACAAACGATCCAAGTTCCAACAGAGTTTGGAGCTCTGTCATTGAGTTTGGATGGAGGCTCCTTTCATTCCACTAAAATAGATTTTTTTATTCTTAAACCTTCACTTTGCTTTTGAAATGAAATGTCAAAGCAGGTCCCTAGATTATCTGCGGCACTGTTCCCTTCATTCAAAGCTACAGACCGCTTCTGGAGAAGAAAGTCAAAATAGCTCATGTGCCCTCAATACCAAAAGGGAAGCCCAGAATAAGGCAATATAGTCCAGCTGTAATTTCTTCTCAGCAATCCCCGCTGCAGCACATCAGAGCCAGCATTTGTAAAACCAAGGAAGAAACAAATTGTAGAAGAATCATAGGATATTGGTATGGTGCTTGTCAGATCCAAAATGCACCGGTTGAAGTTTAAAACTTCATACATTTAAAAATCCTAACCACTGGAAGTTACCTAGCATTTTGTGGACAGCACTAGAAAAGATCTAACCTCTGATGAGTTTGCTTTCAAACACTAAATTTCAAAATGACAGCTGCTCCCTTAGCCTACTTTCCACAAGAAGAATACATTTAAAACCTTTTCTCTCTCTGATAGATTACTTGCAGGGTGGCCATTGATTTCTTTCGTCAGCACTAATACAAAATGGAATTAAGAAGTCTCAACTCAGCAGAGTAAGAAACTGCATTAAAAAAAATAATTCCTAAAAGAGAGATGCTTTCAATCAATACTTGACCTCTGCCACAAAAGACCTTTTAAATCAAGCTGCAGAAATTAATTTTTAAGCCAGGCCACTGTGTAAACCCATCAACTCCTAGGGGCTGTGTACACTACAATGCCAAAAGAAATGGAACCCAGTACCCAACTGCTTTCAAGGGAGTGCCTTGATAAAAGCACGAGAGGGCAGCAAACTTGAAAAGAGTAGCTCTGAACCAAACAAATGTGATTATGGTGGATCTCCAGACTGCAGGGCAGCAAGTCAGATCCCTACTGTCGTCTTTAAAGACAGCATAAGCGGATTTACCAGTACACTATGCTCCAAAGAATTGAAAGGATGCTTTATATCAATAGGAAGAATTTAATGGAGTATAATCTGAAGTTCTACTTAAATCAAAACTTAATTAGAAACAGCCTTGGAAAGCTGGGCTTGGAACTGCTCTTTGCCTAAAACCAATTTTGCAGCTATGCTAGCTATCTACAAGGAATCACGTTCCTCTTCGGAAAGACAAGGGAGAGGACTTGCACTGTGCCTAAGCAGATATACATAAGTTGCTGTCAGCACACAGTTCCCCCTGCGAGCTATTGTCACATCTTAATGCGGCTATTTTGCCTTACCAGAACAACAACATAGACCTTCCAGGTACACTCGAGGAGGAGCTGGTCATCCAAAGCAGTGCAAGCTACAATAAATGCTTTTGGGTAGCACTTGCGAGTTCTTGCAGTTTCAGCACAGTGCATCCAACTTCCAAACGCACGTGCAACTCTTCCACCGCAGATCAAAGAGCAGTAAGTTGTACTCTAGCACTTACCCTCCTTCCTTGCTCCTCTGTGCGGTACGCATGCCTGTACAAGCAGGAGAAAACAGCCCCTGGAGGCATCAGCTCACTGGTTTCATTCCAGCCGTGGGTATGGCAGAGACGGGAGGCATCTCCCTGACACTTGCGGTAAAGGACTGTATCTAATCTGCAAAGAGAAAAGTTATCACTAGCACTTCATTCAAACCTTCAACGTTTTTCACATTCTGAAATGGTTTTAAGGCAGAAAAATCCACTTCAAGTTTCATACACCACCACATCACTCGGCAGCAGGGTCTAACCAACCGAACCAACACATGGCAAAAAGGCACGTCACTCAATTTGCAATCAACTCCCTAATCTTGCAAAAATACACCAAGATCTTTAATTACAGATTAAATCTTCAACACTTCTTGAAGTATCTCCCATCCTCTTCTGCAGCACGTCAGCCAAATGCTGACATACGAGAAAAGAAATCACCTCCTTGATGTCTTAAAGCAGCAGAAAGGCAGGTACACACCAATTTTTGCTTGTATAATATCCTACATGCACTTTGTACTGCTGCCACTTTGAAATGTCAGTTTCATAAAAATCCAAATTAGAGTAATTATTGTCTGCTCTGGATTTGAGCTAACTGAAGATTCAGCATCCCTTGCTTTTGCATACAAGAAAACTGCAAATGCAGATCTCTTAAGGTCATGTCTAATTACATTAAAGCTACATGAGATATTGCCAGTTTTCCGAAACGGAAGCTTCAGATTTCTACAACACTTTAGAAGGCAAACGTTAAGCGATATCAGTGGACACAATTATATGGATAATGATAAAAGTAGAAGGAAAACAACTTCTACTACCTGCATCTGCGCTAGGCACACAGTTAATACAACAGTTTTTATAAGTCAGTTCTAGGGAACAGTGGTTAAGAAAGATGAGCTAATGTTGCCCAGCCTGCAATACGAATTAGAATTATCTTTACTCCCAGGAAAATGCAAATACTCAGTCTTCCTTCTTTCAATCACTGAAGTTTGGCTCAAGCAATGAATTACTTGCGTGAAACATGGTACAGGCAGGAGAACCAGCAATGAAGGGAAACAGGAAGAGGAAGAAAAAAACCACTAAGTATTCTTATCTACTTATGGAGACAGTTATCGAGACGACTAAATAAACAGCCACAAAGCCCTAAACTCTCTGATCCGTGAAGCCCCATTTATTTTAAAAGCAGACAGTTCACAGAGCATGTCAGCTCTTAACTACTGGCAATACTGTCAATGGATACAGCTATGAGTCAGATTTTCTTCATGTTTGATTTGAATACCCTTTGCAGTAATCGAAGTCCATGACTTCTTGCCTCACACTCCCCGTGGTCACTGAGAACAATTATTCCATTTCTTGCAGTAACCTCATTTGATGCACCCTAGTAGTTCCTCACCTCTCAGTCTTCTCCAGAAGAAAAGCCAAACACTTACTCTTTCCTCACTGGTCATGTTTATCAAATTTATACTCTCCTCATCTTAACCCCCGCCAACACAAGGGGCTCTGTATACATTTCAAATAAAGCATTGCCATCTTTGGATGACAAAGCTGGAAAAGCAGTGATCCAAAGGGAACTACATCTGCTCTACATGCTGTAATCACACCTAGAGAATCTGAAGAGAGGCAGAAATGGAAACAGGGAGCTTCTCACACAGTGGCTCTTTGTTATACTTAGGACCTTGGTTTTCTTAAGTCCCATATTGTGGCGCTCAGAGCAGATAAAACTGGCTGCAACATGCACAGAAAGTGACCTTCAACTTTGGTATAGCCAGACAAAATTCTTTTAATTAAAACATGCATTGAATTTCAGAGCTCAAGTTTGAGACACTTTTTAGGGCTGCATCATTTCTAAGTGAGTATCTGATTTAAGTGGGTATCACACTTACTTCTAAGCAGCTTTTGCTTCTACTGTTCTAGACAGGCACTAATGCCCTACGGACCTGGCACGCTTAAAAGTCCTTTTTTGAACAAACACAAGCTATACTGTTTTACAAGGAACTGCTAACGCACACAAACACTAAATACAAGCATCAAGTGAAGATAAATCTTGTTTTACAGCACTCACTTCCAATCACGAGATATAAAATACTGGAGCTCCAGGAGCCTATGCTCACAGTCCTCTACCATCTTCTCGGTATACAAGTGCTCCATCAGGCAAGACAGAATCCTGCAAACAGAAGGAAAAAGTTAGGCAACAGACTGTTACAATCACGCTGAGCCCTCTTTGTTAACAGTTGGTGTTGCCAAATCACCCTTTCCAATGAAAGAGAGAGAAGGCGTTCATACACAGTGAAGATCTTTCTCTTCCTTCAAAAAGATTACACCTAAAACAACTGTCTACCACATCTGTACCCTCTTAGATTCCATTGTTTCAGTTATCTCAGCAAGTCTGATACATGACAAAATCATAAGGAATTTTTTATATAAAATCTGGCTCAGGAGACAATATATATCAGACCTGAAGATAAAGGAGACATTTGTCTCTGCAGTACGGGTTTGTCTAACTGGCCTTTCAAGGCTTGTTACTTTTCTTTGTGATATTGCTAAAGACTTATGTAGTAAGAGAAATTAGCACACCAAACGTTACAAATTTAATCTAAGTGCCTGAGAGAGCTACATCCTTCACCAGTGCTAAACCAGTCCTGCTATAAAAGCACTAGCCTGCTTATATGGCAAGAATGAAGACAGAGCTCGGATCACACCTCCAACCCTGTATGAATTGCAAGTTTGGGGTCCGTCATTTCTGGACAGGTTTTAGTATCTATACTGGTCAGCCACACAAATTCCACAGATACCCAAGAGAAACAAAAAACAGTTGTAACTACAAGCCACCTACATTGGGTCTCCAGACCGTATGTGCTTGCAGGCGGTCTGTATCACTGACTCACAGGCCTCATTCAACGCTCGGTCAATGCGGTAATCTGCGCCGGGGTCAGTTTCTTGAATCAGTGTTTGAAGCTGGAAAAAAGAAATTGTAAATAGGAAAACAGATAATAATGATCAAAACGAGAGTTCTTGCAACCTCTCAGCATGGCAATTCCATGCCATTAACAACAGTACCAGGTAAGATCTCTGCTCTACAAGTGCTTTTTTAAAGTGCTTGGGCTGCCAACTCAATTGCCAGACATGGGAGTCCGGCGCTGAAAAAACTGAACCCTAATTATCATTAGGAAGTAGCCCATGAACATTAGATGAGACTGGTGACACACTGAAGGTCAACCGTAAACCTGGACCACTTATGTACTGATTTACAGAACAGAACTGGTAAAATTTGGATACTGTATTTTTGATCCATTTCATGCCTTGGTGCCAACCTCATCCCATGAGGCTGATGATACCAAACACGCAATTCTGTCAAATTTTCATGAAGACTATCTACAACTGAAACCCAAATCAATGTTTAAAGACCAGTTGCCTAACTACAAACAAAGCTTAAAACAGTTTTTGTGTCCTCTCCAGGCAATTCAAAAGTTTTATTGAAATACAGGAGAAAATGTCTTGTTCTGCTGCTGCCTCATGAAGTAGCATTGCCTCAGGGATGCCTGCTCAAGCTTTTGGAAGCCAGGGTAACCACAATTTGGTCTGAAGTACACGACTGATTTATTTTTTATATATATGTATAAAAAAATAAAAGCAGGGCACCAGGTTTTATCTATTTAAGAGAAGCCATGGTGTAAGTGAAAGATGAAAACAAAAACTTTCCGAAGATTTAGAGACTAAGTGTGCTAACTTTTAAGCTGTGATATCCCTGCACTCCTTTTGCGCTTCTAAATACTTTAACTGTCATAGATAAATATAGCATGAACAGTTTCATCAAGTCTTTTCTTCTTGTGAAACAGTTATTCTGATGGAAGATTCAGAAAAATAACTGTCTCTTATTAATAAAAGGAAACATAATTTAGCATCCACTGCACTTCAAAAATCAGATCTAGATGGTTTATCTTCACTACAGCATCTGAACATGAATTTGGGAGGCATCTACTGGGCCAGGGGAAGAGTAAATCTCATAATCTCACTTAATCTATACTTTTGGGGAGAAGGGTAGTTTTCTGGGCCATCACTCAGCCCAAGATCGCCAGGCCTCATCTCATTTCCCACCAAGCACTGAATTCCCAAAGCCTGAACAAACAGACATAGGGCAGAAATTGCTATTATTCGATGAGCAAACATTTTTAGCTAACAAATTTGCAGTAAAAAGAGAGCTTCCTTAGAAGGCAACTGCACACCGACATCAAATGGTCTATGCCGTTAACATCTTGATGCTTACTTAGTGATTTTTGCCACTGGCCCCCAGCCCAACTAAATTAAAAGCAGAGTTACATTTTTATCTTCCATCTTTCAAAGTCTGCACTTAAACACCATCCAGGAAACTTGCAGGGGCAAAACCCTAACATCACAAAACACAGAGAAGTATAAAAAAAAAAAAAAAAAGCATCACAGAATCAGAGAAAATATAAGTTAGCACTATTTATCCAATAGGAAATTTGTAATCAAGAGGACAGACCACAGACTGCCTGGGAGGAACGCAGGATTTCCTGCAACTTGCTCTTGGTCAGAGTTAATTATGCCCAGTCTTAGCTTCTAAGAGATGCAGGTAGCTTGGAAGAGCGCTGCCTAGCAGGTACAAGCTCTTGATTCCAAAATTCCTGGGATGTTTTCACTAAAAAATAATAAAATAAAGGAGAAACATTTTATACCACCCTGACAGTGGTCAAACAGAAGCCAAAACAGGACCCAGTTCATAACAGGGAACTAAACCTTAATCAGCGGGAGAAGTGAGAAATGATACGTCCTTTACAAATTTCATAAGTCAACACAAGGAGAAGAATATGGTAGCTCTGCTGGCACATGCACACACACATAGCCTGCATGGACAGGCAAGGCTGCACATAAAGTGCTGGGATCGCTTCATGTCAGATGTTTACATATAAAATTGGACCAAGGACAATTAGTGGAATTACTCCCTCAAGGACAAATGGGTGAATAAAACCTCAAACCTGACACTTTCTTACACACAGAGATTCAATAAACTGGCCAGAGCATTATGCAGGCAGGATTCTTCCTCAGGTCTCAGTTTAATCAGTATTTTTGTTGCTATCAAGCGGAAGAGGCCAAAGAGCACTGGGTACGACAGCTTCAGAAGCACCAGATCACCTCTGAGTCTCTCTGCCCTGTTTCGGGCACTACTGCAGGATCCCAGTCCCAATTCTCAACCACACGCAAGACATGCAGCAGCGAGCCAGCTGCCCTGACTGCAGGGGCGAGGCAATAATTTGGCACCAGTGACAAAACTGAAGGTTTTATAGGATTTTTCTCCTTCCCACAACAAACCCTTGCAGTTGAAAAGCAGCTGGATAAACTTTCTAATCCTCTGAACTTTTATCCTGATACGGAGCTAAATTAAAAATTAACTATCAATTTATTAGGTGTATTATTTCTGCTTCCAGTTTCTATCTGCCTTTTTAGCATGGCTTATAGTTTTACATGCTCAAGGGACTGAATACATATTTGAAAAACAGTTTGCCAGCAGCTCTAGAATAAAACACTGCTTCCACTAAGCAACACCACAGGTGCTAGACACTGCCAGTACAGCTGTAGATTGTTTTATGGGCCAATGCTCACAATTAAGGGACACGTATTATCTGCTGTCTGATGACCTACAGCATCGCAGATCCACCCTCCCTATGCGCAGGATCTCCATCTTTGAAGAATAACGTAACAATGATATTTGCAGAAGACCTTTTAATGACTGGAACATATCCAAGCTGTATACGCTTCCCCAAAGCAAAGACGAGCTTGTTTTACACGGGAAGACACGCTCCAGAAGTAGGATCTCCTTCCAAAGATATTTTTTTTCTTAATAAAATGCATGCCCCTATAGAAGTATATCAATAGTATAAATAATAGAAATCCTATCCTTTGTTTCAGAGCAGGCAGAGCGTTCCGAGATGGCAAAAGTTAAACTGCAAACAGCCCTTAAGAGTGCACATTGCTAGAGAGTACCTGTGATACGCTGGGGTCAGCAAGGTACTTAAGCCTACAGTTAGGCAAGATAAGGCTGAACAAATGCCTGGGAGTTGTTTGGGGTTTTTTGTTTGTTTGTTCGGGGTTTTTTTGTGGTGTTTGTTTTTTGTTTGTTTTTAACTTAGGCTGAACCATTTCTGTTACACAGAAATCCATGGTTCCTCTACCATTTACAGAACTAGGGCATTTTGGCAAGTTCACTGATCAAAACTGAGACAAAAAACCCCACACAGCTCTCAGACGTCTCAGTCAAGGCATGCTTCTTGCACAACAGCATGGTTAATTGTGAGCGTAGACACTCATACGCAAGATCATTCTGGCTGAGGTGTCTCACAAGACATGGAACCCATCAGATCAAGAAATCAGGGTTTGAGAAGGTTCGAGAATGCATTTTGTTGACTGCTTTAATACAAAGAATCATTCATATTCTTCCTGCAGGAAAGGGTATGAGCAGATGCTCCTGCAGTAAAATAAAATCATGGAGGTTCTTTGGGTTTGTTTTGTTGTTTTGGGATTCTTTATGTTGGTTTTGGCAGATGGGTAAACATCTTCCTTTCATAAGGCAAGCATAATCAGAGCAAAACTTGACAGGCAGGACAGTAAGTAAAACTAGATCCAAATGTTCCCCATTCCAATTTCCTCAAGCAAACTGCCTAGGCAAGTGTGTCTGGTCGTACAGCTTCTACAATGAAGAATTTCAGGACAAACCCTACTGCTTTGAGCTAGCCAAGAAATCAAAGTGCTGTTTAATGATGCTACTGAAAGCATGGGGACACAAGTTTTTGACTCTGCATAGAAAAGACAACATCTGGAGATGGGCCCAAAGCACCACAGCCAGCTCTGCTGGGACAACCCCAGCACAAGCATGTTGTTCTCCTCTGTTTCTGCAAGTGAAAAGATAGAGGTGCCACATATCAGCAGTTCCACCATCAACAGCCACATCAAAGATCAAATTGAGAGCATCAGCACAATGTTCCTGAAACAAGAACTGCTCAAGGACATCAGAACACAAGAAACATTAGTCAGCTTTCGTCTAGCTAGGCTTGGGCTGAAGTCACGTAGAGCAAGCGCTAGCCAGGAAGCGAGTTAGCAGGAGGTGGCAGAAGCAGCCATCCCATCTGCATATGAAGAGCTACCAGAGGTACAAACTGATAGGAGCTCTCACCAAAGTGACACTGCAGACAAAAATCAGTCCATGCTCTCTGCTTACAGTTTTTGGAAACCCTGACATAGGTCAATCTTTCCCCCATGAATGAATTTACTGAAGCAACACTTGTAAGACCATCTACATGTCTCAAAGATTGAACTATACCAACACATAGCAACTAAGAAGCTGAGAAATCAGCTTCAGAAAAGCATCGGTGGATCAGCAGAAACATACATCAAAGGTACTCTCTAGGTATCCAAAAGGAACTGAAGTAGCTCCAGCTGCTATGAAGGGATGGATCTCTAACTTGCCTTCTTCATGGCCTGTCATATGGGCCAATCTCATATGACAGGGAGTTTGAGTCCCTTGCACAAGCCGTGCAGTATCTGGCAGGGTTTCAGACAATAATCTCTTCCTTACAGAGATAATTTACCTACCATAGAAGGTAGAAGCAGGAAGATCATTCTAACACAATAAATCAAAACAGAAAAAAAACAGTGACAGCTGAGACAACCATTACCATTCAAATACAAAAATATCAACAATAAATGACTTAGTACCTCAGAAGTTACAGGCAGCTATATAACAGCACCACACCAGTGCTCATGAACCCAGAACATTGGACTGTTTATCCTATTCTTGCAATCATCTATTTCCTCTTGCCCATAAAAATATGGACAAACTAATCATATTTCATAAAATCAACACGTAATTCACTCCTGCTGTCTTTTGCACAGAGAACAGAACATAGGTCATTTAACTTAAAGGGGAGTCATGGACAAGCTCTGCTGTTGCATCAACTTACTGTACAAAAATAAAGCAGTAGCTTAAGTATAAGAGAACTGAAAAAAACTCCTATAGGTTTCAACAGACATTATGTTTCTCCAAAAGTCTGCAATCTCATATCACTTTTGGGGGTCCCCTGCCTTGACTTATCAGTTGTTCTGAACATGCACTTCATGATCTGGAAGTTATTCCCAAGATGAATTGATCTTCCAACCAATTTGCAAATAATCAAGTTCTGAGGCAGCAAGTTCAATTTCATATTTAAACAGAAACAAGTATTCAGTTTTTCACATAAATGTTGCAAAGCATAAGTCATGCACTACAGCTCACTGCAGAAATGACTCAAACTGTACAGCTGCTGCACCACTACACCTAGTATTTATGCACCCTATGCCGTACAAAAATTTAACTGATATGAATTTATCTTTGATAACATATACAAACTGGCAACATTTGGGGCTCAGGCTTTGAGCTACATTTACACTGAAAATGGACTACAGTGGTTCCATATATTGCAGGAGGTAAAGAGCATACATCCCCCCAAATTCCTACATCAGCGCTAACACTCCCTAGCCATTTCTGGCATTGATGTCACTCTTCCAAGCTCACAGGCCATTAAAAGCAGGTATTAAGTACAAAAATGTAATACCACACTAAAAAGCACTAATGAGTTTGAACAAACATTAAATTTTTTTTTCAGTTTAAAGAGACTACAAAGGGGATGCATCTGGGCCAAAATGAAGTTTTAAAAAGGTAAAAGAATTATCCCATTTTAAAAAGGTATCCTGGAGAAGAACGACATTCCCCTCAGTGGCTGCAACTACAACGATGTGCAGCAGTATGTTGTACCTACCTGTCCCTGAAGTTCCATTTCCATCGTTTAAGCTGAATAAAATAGCAAAAATAAAACTGAGTGGAAAGGTGCTTTGAGAAGATCTAGTGCATTTCTGAGGACAGGGCACAGGGGGAAAAGGGAAGGAGAAGGAGTGTTTTAAAACTTATAACAAAAACCCAACAAGTTTCCCTATGTCTTGCACCCAGGAGAGAATTCCGTAACTTGAGAGCTGCTGGAGAAGAACTACTGGAGATCCAGTACAAAATCCAGAGCAAAACAATTCAAAATGCATTTTTTGAGGGGGAAAAAACCCCAAACCAACCAACCCACATTACTAATGTGCTGCTACATACCAAGTTACACTTCATTCAGTACCCGGCAGAGCCAGGCTGCCTTCAGCAGAATCTTTATTGCAAGGAAAAACGTTAGCAGACAAATCGGTGCTTCTATCAATTGAGCAACCTAGAAGTGAAGTAATAGAAAAATATCTTACTGCCTGCTGACAATTCAGTCCGACGTTTCCCTTTTCACCCCGCACTACTTTCATCAGGCAATGCAGGGTGCGGCCTTTCCGATGCAGGCCTGAGCAGTGGTGTTCGATCTCCCCTCGGCAGCTCAGGATGATTTCTGGGCTCAGTGAGAAGTCTTCCATTAGCATGCGCCGGTAATCCAACATTTCACCCTGGCACTCACTGCTCACCTGTCGACCTGAGCCAAGAGAAGATGATGTGATTTAGTATTAATGCTTATCAGAGCCCTTCTTGACCTATGTTACCATCATGTTGGAGGAATAGGGATGATGTCCACACTCTGGACAACACCAGAGCGCAACAAATGGGCTAGAGTGGACGTGCTGGGGATTAAATCACTTGTTACAGTAGCTCCTGTCATTTAATTGAACCTGTAAAATATAGCCAGTCTATGGATTCATAATAAGTTTTTTTTTAAAAAGGATTCGTGAAAGATCAGGAGAATCTTATTTTGGATTTCACATTACAGGAGCTGCTTTTGAAGAACAGCTGAAAAAGCTCAGTGGATCTGCAGTTCTGTAGCACAGGTCAGCTTTTCCCCATATGCTTAAGGGCTCATTTTTCCACTGTAGAAATGGAAGTCACCTCTGGAAATTTACCAACTCGATATGTAATTGGGGGAGAAATTTGTCTGGACAGCAGGTTAAACATTTTCTCTGAGCAAAAGGTTTTCTAGAGCAACAGTACATACTTGCTCAGGAAGCTAAAAAACAGAATAGAAGATGTTACCAAGAGTATATATGAAGTGTCCAACAAACCACCATAGCTGCACAGAAATCTAGCTTTAATAAATGCTTAGATCTGCTACAGGCTTTCCTACAGTCCCCATGCAGACAGTTTGTTCTGTTTTTTTTTTTTTTAAATCAAAAGGAACATGTTGCCTCTTTTGCTATACCCTCCCCCTAGCCCCCATCACAACCTACTCCTACGTGTACAACGCCCCACGCAACAGAGGTCCTATACCCCCACAGGGGCTTCCAGGCGTTATCATATAGACACAGAGGTATGTGGAATAATTAGTGTTCCTCCTGGGCTATGCTTCATACCTGAGCCACACACTGCAGAACCTGTTCCACCGTGAAAGTGGAAGTTAATAACTGAGGAGCAGTTTTCTGTATGTAATTCAGGAAAGCACTTGCCCTACTGCGGGAGAAGGGAAAAAACCCAAAACAAAACTCACAACTTTTCCACAAATAGGACACATCATTTCCACATCAATCAGACGCAATGAGTTATCCAAACTCAAACGCACAGATTGCTTATGGTGTTACAGCAGCCTTTCCCTCCCATGCCAGAGGCATTCCAGCATGCAGCCTTGTTGCTGAATCAGAAACCACTCAGCTGCATGCCAAGGGGAAAAACAAACAATTCCCCAGCACAGGTGCGGAGGATATAACATGTCATTTTACATGTTACAGCAATTTCACAGAGAACCTTTAGCATCATCCTGCCGCACAGGGCCTTCTAATGCCTTTGGGACAGGCACTGGTGTTAGGACATCTCCAGCTTACGCTAACTTAAATGAACAAAAAGAATATTCTCACACTTACCTTCCTTCTATATAGGAAAAACTGGAGTTAGAGAAATTAAGGCATTTATCCAAACTACTGAACTGCAAGGAAAGAACATTACTTACAAGAGGCAAAGGACTGAGTATCCCTGGCTTTCCCTGAGTGATGATAAACAGGTTCTCTATTCTGTGTTTTAACCTAGTAGCATATTTAATGCTTACTACATAAAGGGGGAAAAAAGCGGCTTGAATTCACAGCGAATAGAAAGATTTGCAATGATGCATCATCCGTCCAAGTGGGATTTGCTATTTTGCATTTTAAACTTCTTGTCTACACAATAGGAGTCAACATCAGAGGTTAACTCAGCTATTCTGATCTACAAAACAGCAATGATGAAAGCGTTATGATGAGGTAACTTGCCTCTAAACTGAAGTCTGGAAAAGGTTACTTGGAGAAGGGAACTGTAAATACAAGTTGAAGCCAAAGGTCCAAGAGAAACTTTTAAAATCAAGGTCCCAGAAAGCCACACATCTCTTGATTGAACTCCACTTACCTCTGTGCACAGCAGACTCTAAGCACATCAACAGATAGGAAAGCCTGGCTTCCCGAGACCGGGGAAGGTTCTCCACATTACAGCGGTACTTCTTCAGATCACTTTTACAGGACTTTGCCAGCGAGTAACTGACTTTGTAGTCTTGGGCTATCAGCTTCTGGCGGGTTGTTAGCGCATCACGACACTGCAGGAGACACATTGGGATGGCTGAAAGAGTTTCCACGCACTGACTGGCTGCTGTTAAGTTTTCAAGTTGTGTTTCAAAAGACCACTGATGCTTTAGAATTCATGCGTTTAAGCTGGATTGCAGTTAAATTTCATTCGTCTCACAGAAACCACTCAGTTAACAATGCACACTGAGGTCAACAGATCAAGGGTTTTAAAGGCAGCGGCTCTCTGCAAAGCACTTCTTAAAACTGCATATTCATCCAGCTTTTTGTGAAGAGCTATGGCTGAAAGCATGACTCATTCTCAGTAACGAGGATCAGTTGCTGACATTTATCCCAGCTGTGGTACACGCTCACCCTATGTCCTCAAGAAACAACTTTTTCCATTCGCATTTACAAAATATTGTGTTCTTTGGATTTGTTCTGCAAAGTGCTGAACAGATGACAGCAGATAAAGCAGTCTAACCATAGGAATTTCTAGCCATTTTTCACAACTGGTGAGGCTCACGAGGATGCACTGTCACCAAACTCGAACTCAGCAGCTGCAAGAACAACCCTCTAAACTTCATCCAAAAAAGGGCCTGTAAAAACACTGCTACGCTTCGCAGATTTTGGTTTAAATGATATGAAAATTAAATCCGAGGGAGGCAGATAATTCAGAATAGCTCAGGCAAATTTGTCCATTCTTGGCTTACTTGAAAGGAAGGAAAACCGTGCACCTGTAGGGCAGCAAGAACAGGGAGCAATCTTGGCACAAGGAACAGAGAAGTCCTATAACTCTCTCCCTTTCCTTATCTCAGGTTTTTGACTTTTCTCCCCCTCCTCCCCATACCTACTCCAGGACCTGGAAAGCCCTACTCCAAGATATTCCCACTCCCTCCTTCATGCTTCCGTCTCTGTGCCGTGACTGGAACCTTGGGACTGGACAGACTTAAAGCTCTGGACACAGGGAGATACAGGCTCGCAGATACTTCATCCCCCAAAAGAGAGGAAGGTCAGGTACAGGCAGGGAGCCCAGCCTGGTGAGCAGTTTTGGATTACAGAAAGCAAGCCACCCACCAGGCAGCTATCGTTGGCTACATGTGAATGCAGCAGGTGATGCCAGCAGCAAGAAGGGACTTTTTACTGGGTAACAGCTTCTACAAAACTAGTGACTTTGCAGATGGTCCAACCTTGGCAGCTATAAGAGTGAGAACTAGATTTTGTGTTCCTCCTGCTCTGCAAACTGCACCCTCGGAGCATCCACCTCTCTCTCTCCCGAGTCATCTGCTACAGCTTTGTCTAAACTCTCAACATCTTACATTCATAATCTTAGAGAGCTGATCATGGAAAAGACCCCTCAAAAACCACCACTGTCCCTGTACAATCAAAAAACAAGTTAAACTCAAATGAACTGCTATTTTTGCAATGCGCTTGTATAAAATGAAGCTTTGTTTCAAGCCCTTGGGGATCACTCTCTCAGTTTTGAATTTGTTAATTGGGTCCAAGCTATCAGATAGCGCACTTAAAGCAAAGGAAATAAGTCTGATCCCTCCAGGCCTCTGAATCAGGCTCCTTCAGTGGAGCTTCCCTGAGGAGGACTTTACAGATATCAACCTTCATTTCCTTTCAGATAGGTGATATAATTCCATATAATCCCAAACACTATGATGCTGCTTCCAAAATCACTGAAGGCGTTGCTGCCTCCCCAAAATACCTACACCAACACAAACTCTTTTCAGGATTGGCTTTCCAGAACAACTTTGTTGTCATCGTTGTTGCTGTTGAAAACCACTTCTTCAGGAAAAAAACATAAGGAAAACTTCAGTAACTGAACTGTGCATCCTTCCCACAGAATTTGCTGCTTCACAGTCAGACCTCGTAGCCTTGAAAACAAAAGCGAAATGCACACAGCTTCCTGTGCCGAGGCATTTGGGCATTTTGTTTCCGATTTGTACGTTATGACAGCATTTATCCAAGGCTTACCCCAGCACGGTGCAACTTCTTCTTTAAACACTCAATCACAGTGCTACCACTTGAGCTCCACGTCTGCCTTCCCAAATTACCCATCCAAAAGCTTTGATTTATTTAAATCCTTAACTTTAAAGGCTGTAACTTGAGTACAATTCAAGCCATCAGCACGTAGCTGGAAACACAAACATATCGAAGTAAAAGCATCTGCCAAAGCAGTCAGTTATCCAGCCACGTAGATGACGGATTTTCCTCAACACCGGAAAAGAATAATGCAGCCTGGACTGATGAATGATCTGATGATTTCTGCATTAAGGATTTGTGTCACTAAGACGGATACCTACCTTTTCACTCATTGATTCTTCAAACTTGTGATTAAAGAGGCACTTGTAGACTCGGCCTTCCCCAGCCTGAGTCTGTAAACAGAACAGTAATATTTACCATTAAAGATAAGACTTGTAATACTCAACAAGCAGGCTAAGCTATACCTAAAGAGATTTATTTTTTAAACTAGAAATATATTAGAGTCAATATTTCAAATGACAGCGATAGCTTCTATACTACAAAAACATTTCAAATTTTATCGCATTAAAATAAATAAAAAAATCTGATCGTGTTCGTCACTTTTAGTGAGAAGACACTCAGCTGACACAAGGTAATTCAGACTGAACAATGCAGCTTTCCAGCTCACTGCTCCAGGGATAATGAGTGCTGCAAGTAGTTAGGCCAGGCTTACCTTGTGCAACAGTGTAGTGTGGCAGAAGGGAACGGTCACTTATCTTTGCGGCCTCCTCCCCGTTTGAGTCGTTCCATTCCCTGTCACACCAGCTCTGATGCCCATTAAACCATTTATGCCAATTCAGTTCATTAACCCACTGGAAATAACGCTTGTTTGTTGGGTGAGTGAATTTAATACCAGATTTATTGGAAAGTGACAGCTACAAAGTGGTTGTTTTCAGTATTGTAAGATCTCTCTCAGGCTCCACTCTGCCATTCCAGTCCTTCTTCCAACGGGGTTTTGGCTTTTTTTTAATGGATTATTGTAGAAGTGAAGGCAAGAGGAAACTACTCACGTTTTCACAAAATCGTTCTCTATCATCTCGGCATGCAAAGTAGAGATGCCGGTCCAAGTGGAAGTCATCCGAAGAGAGTTCAGCTACACGAAGAATTGCTTTCTTACACTGATCAGAAACCTGCATATGAGGATCAGTCTCCTCTGCCTCTTTTACCAGACCTTTTTCCAGGCATGCCACCACCTCTCCTTGTGAGTGGGCATCCTATATGAGAAAAACAAGACAACATCTGTAACCAGCACTTACATAATCAAGTGATCTGCGATTCTGGATAAGCACCACATAAATTAAGCAACAAACAAACTGTCTACCTATAGCCTTCCAAAAGTTCAGCTTAAACTGCATTTACATTCAGAAGAGGCAACAGTTAAAATCTGTACTATACACATGCTTTACACATCACCACCCTGCTGATGGTCACCATGAAATCCCCCACTCCAATGCTCTGGGTTTGTTTTAATGGGACTTAATGAGATTATCACTACTTAGTCACACTGCTCAGAGCAGTTTACCAAAACGGCCAAATTATCTTTAATCTGACATAGCTCTCTTCGCACCATGGCAACACCATCGAATTAAGAACATACTCGGAGAAGAGAAAAATCACAGTTCCTCCATGCTGAGACTAAGCCTTCAGTTTGGGTGGTGATTATTAGTGATGCTAAAAAGGCCACAAAGGAGCTTTGACCAATGTAGGATTCTCAAGGCTAATTCCTCCATTAAGAGAATAAAAAAAAAAATTCAAAACATTCAAGAGTAGATGAAGTCTCAGACAAAGCAGTTCTGGCCCAATACTGTATGCCAGACAAAGCAGTTCTGGCCCAATACTGTATGCCACATCCACTGTCCTGTAAGCTTGAAGACAACTTTGGACTACAACCAGCGACTGCCAATAAATGTAGAGAGCCTGAGTTTTGTATCAAAGTCCAGAAGACGCAGGGCAAAGCTGATCAAAGCTCCATTTAGTTTCCTACAACCTTTTTACGTGTTCAGAAAGGGAACCCTATGCCCTTTACACCTCTGCAGAAGGTCTGAGTCCTCTAATAAACAAGAACTCCTCTGGAATAGATCTCTCAAGGCTTCTGCATGTTGTTCCTGCGAAGACCACCTTAGTTTAATGCTGCTCTGCTGTGAGAGGATATCGCTACTAAACTTATACCAGACTATCCGGAGTATACAACAAAGTATGTGTATTTGCACACATCTGAATAGCTCAACCCGGTATTTGTAGTAACCGTGTAGGAGCTATCCCTTCAGCTTGCTCTGTCAACTAGATTCATCCACTGCTGTTGCAGCAGCATGAGTTAAGAGAGCAGTCTCCACAAAACACAACCGTGACTTTTCAAAGCCATGCAACTCTTCCAAATCTTTTTGTTCTGATCTGTCTCCTCAGGCAGCCAGCCTTTGATTCCTATTTTAACTCTGCCACACTTGGAGCACAAGCAGAACTTACCAATTACAAAGTTGTAAACACAATCCAGAAGGATAATTAGTTTAAAAGGGGTAAAAGTAGCTTTGCCCTTTTAAAAAGGAAAAAAAAAACCTCCCCGAAAACCCCCACACCCCAAAACTCCTTATTTTGGTTTGCTCTTTTCTATGAGTGGGAACTGAACAACTCCACATGCTGGCCAGATACCAGCATGTCTGAAGAAATATAATTATACATCAACAGTCCCTTTAGGACTGAACCCAAAAGGGATCCGAGGAAGACTAGTTAGCAGTATGTTCACCACATTACTTAAAATTGCCATTTATCTTTACCACCACACCAAACACAAACACTGTTCTGCAAATCCTTGCGGTCAGTCGTAAGTAGTAATTACAACCGAGGAGCTGCCAAGTGTAAATGATTGAAAACAACCATTTTAAGCTCCTCTGGCAGTTTTTTTGCTTCAACCTAGGTGAGGTTGTAGCTGGGAGGCAAGGCAGACAAAGATCACTCTCACTCACCTGCAGCCTCCCTTCGCAAGCCAGCAAGGAGGGCACAGGGCAAGTTTTTCCTGCTAGGAAAATCAGAAGTTTCCTGGTTTCTTGCAATTTGGGTCTAGACTCCTGGTCAGAGTCATACTACATATGAACGTAAACCTATTTTTAATAGTCTAGCGAAAGCAGATTTCCATATGCTGGATGCTGAATGTTTACTGTTGTATTTCAGGGACACAACATGAAATGAGTAATTTATTGCGTTACTTCACAAATACAATTTTTACGTTTGCGTAGATCATCCTGTAGTGCTGGCTACTCTGCTGTCCTGTATTAGAGCAATTTTAAAACATGTCAGGCTTAACAGAAATAGAAACACACACAAGACAACACAGCTGGCTCCTGAAAGATGCAGTCCTGTTCTTTCCTCCTACCTCCAAGGATCTACCTGTCTTCCTGTGGTGACACTAGTGTTTCTATGCTCACCTGACACTGTTCGGGAGATTTACTGACTTAATCTGGGTTTTCAGGCAGATCAGGTCCCTGAGTGCTAATGCTGACTTGTTAAACCAGCTTAAGGAGGTCCTAATTTTTTATTTCTTCAAAACTGCATGAAGGCAGCTATGCTACTGGTCAAACAGAGTATAGATGGGACTTGACAAATGTGGTTTATAGAAACATCACTTCAAGCTTTAATTATAGGCTAACACCTACTGTATTTAAGATTGTACAATCTCTTATTGCAGACTGGAGGGGAAAACAAACACGTACGGCCGCACTCAATCATCTTTTTCTAAAGCAGCTGGCAATCAGAAAGTTTGACAGGCTCATCCTAAGGATGGCAGGACAGCTTTGACACACATTTGCAGTACCTGCATCACTTTGTGGCTCTACACCACACAGAGCTGCCTGTTCCCATCTGCACTCCGTGTGCCACCGGTCCTGTGGGGCCAGCTCAGCCTTGGAGGCACCAAAGGCAAGGGTCGACATTCCACGGCGTGAGCTCTTCCGGTCCTGCTCCGGCACCGCCTGCCTGGTGTATGAACGCCTGCTGCGGCTCTGCCGTGGAATGAATCTCAGCAAAGCTTTTCCTCTACCCAGTACCCTGTTGTTGAAAAACCTCCACCTTAGAGTTGAAGATCTCTAAGTTCACTCCACAAGTCAGGACTCCCCAAAATTACTGCAGGGGCTGACAGAGTCTAGGCCTCATTTCTCCTGTGCAACATACTGAAATATAAGAGATCAAATCTAGAGACCCACACACGTTTCTTGGAATTGTTGCCTCACCAGCGCTATCAATCTTAAACAGAGAATTTTAACTGAAAGTTGCAAAGATATGTTAAACTAGATAATTATCTAGCCTTGAAACTCTGCATAGTTTTATGAAAAGATACATTTAGATCAGCAAAGGATACAAGTAGCTTTCCAATACTGTCCAATGGCACTTTAAGCAGCAGAGAAACAAAACTAAGTTCTAAATGCACCCAAGCAAACTTCCTTCTTTAAAAAGACTTTATTCTGTCTGAAATCTGTCCTGCCTCGAGTTCATGACTGTTCTAGCTCCAAACTTGCAGAGAGAAGCTAGAAAAGTGACCAGAAAAGAGTCAAGAGTAGAAAAGAGCAGCAGACAGGAAGGTAAAACATAACCTGTCTTACCAGTAGGGCACCTTCCACCGAACGGCCCTGCTGACTTTGCTGGAGCCAGAGCAGTCAGGCTATGGGAAAACCACCCAGTAGATCTATCGTGAGTTCCAGTTCCGCACTCCACTTGGCTAACCCAGACACTGGGGTTATGGGGATAGCTCTTAGATTAGCTAATTCCCGGTACTTCGGTACACTGCTATAATACTACACTAAGTAAACAAAGATTGCACTGAATGTTAGCACCTCTTTCCATTTAGACTCATTTCCCCTGTGTCCAGTACTTCTATGAAACTAAGGAAGGACTGAGAGCAACTGAACTCGAAGCACTGAGGGGTGGGGAAAAAAGCAAGAAAGCAATGGTCTCCTAATGGGTCTTTTTTTAGGAATCTGAAAAGTACTATTATCTGGTAAAGTACTACAACAGGTGTGTAATTGGCACTTATGTAGCCTTCATTATGGCAAATGATCAACTCCAGTTTAGACGTCATGACAAACTATACACTACCTACCAGTTTGATACCATCCTAGACATTGCTGGGATCAAGAAAGTAGCTCATTCTGATAAGTAGCCCAAGAAGAAAAGCTCCACTGCAACTACCAATTTCAATTTCAAATTCGATCCCTATTGCACAAAGACAAAGAAAGCTTTAAATACCGGGAGACCAAATTTGCTATAAAGCGCAACAGTCAACTGGAAAGGTGACTTAGACTACTATTAAATATTTCTCCATCAACCAAGGAAGGAAAAAAAAAGAACCAACCAAAAAAACCCCAAACAAATAAAAAACCACAACAAAAAACCAACTCCACAACATAGGCATATTACAAAACTTAATACTTTCAAATGACACATCTACAGCCTTTCTGCTACATACAGCAAAATGAAGTCTACAGTCAGATTGAAACTTCTAAGCTGAACTTTATTGCTCTCACAGAGCAGAAAACCCACAAAAAACATGGAGAAGCAGGCACAGAAAACACCACATCAGAAGCAACAAACCCAGCAGGAACAGAATTCAATTAGGAAGTAGAAAGCAAGCGAAAACAAAAAAAACGAAGCATAGAAAAGAAAAACAGTTAGGGGCTTCAAGAGGCAGTGTAATTCCAGAACATCCACTAAAGTGCCTTTTACAGTTAAAAATGCCAGTTTAAGCCAGTTACTATGATGAAGCTATTATATTACAATCTCCGAGACCACTAACGCCACGTCAGGTGGCTATCAGGGCTTATTTCCATTAAAAAAAAAAAAGAAGAGAGAGAGAGATATGAATCTCTTCCCCCATCTTCCTCCTCAGATGACCAGGTCCTATTTGTTAAATTCACAGTTACGTTCAGTGACACAACAGGGGAATGACTGTTTCTCTACAGGCAACTCTCAGAAGCTACAGCGTGGAAATAAAACCTGAACCAGCATCTGATGGGAGTAAATTAGATTTCTCCAAAGCAGAAAAAGGATAAGACAGAACATCAACAAAAGAAATGCTTGCATAGCCATTTATAGCTGTTTCCATAGCAGTATAAAATACTTCAATTGCCCTAAGCGCCAAGGATGACAGCATACAAAAGACGTCATATGACAGGCTGTGACATTTTCACAAACCAAGGCAAAATACTCTGGGTTGGGTACCAAGGAAGTGAAGAATACGCATAATGCCCATAAAAGTTTGATTAGCGACCCACTCTGCTACCCCACAGACACTCAGTGACCCAAAGTTTGCATTCGTTTCTCTCTCCCAGATGCCTTGTGACCTTAGCCACCCTCGCCATCCTCATCCTTCACCGATCTTAAATTCTGCAACCAACACGGTGGGTTACGCACAGTTACACACACAAGTCTACCAGCATGGGCTTCACTTGTGCTATATAAGATTTGGCTTATGCTCACAAAATCCACTCTATTGTACCCTTCAGTGCTACCACAAGTATTTTAATTTAATTTGGTCAGGCCACAGGTAGTATGCAGACTTGACACCTAGACTCCCGTATTACACTTCTGATTATTATACTGATTGTTAAAAGCAGTTTCTCATTTCATGAGGTCCTTCAGCCCAGGATTAAAAGAGAGCCTTTACTTTATGGAGAAAGCAAGTTATTCAGCTGTTACCAGTCTGAATCCGTGGTGCCTGCAAGTTCCTCCCACTTCTATGGTTGCTTTTCTCCTTGAAAGTGAGTCTTTATTTTTGGGCTTTCTGTTGTTCAGTTAAGTCTTCTGGAATATACTAGCACTTTAATTTAACACACTATGGATGTTGACTGCTTACAGTGAACATCTCAAAAATCTAGGACAATTTTTTTTTTTAACCAAAAAAAGGATATGTTTTTTGTTATACACCTCCTCATTAATAGCTAATTTAAGAGACTTAATCTTGAAAGCATAAGAGCTGTAATTTAAAAAGCACTGTGAAAAGTTGAAAGGCTAATTTTAACTTTATCCCTAAACATAAAAACTTACTATAAAAGAAGCCACTCGTTCCTGCAGCACTACATAATTGCTGCTTGCGTTAGCTATGCTGAAGTAGACAGGGAAAGACAATGCCTTGAAAATAACCTCACATCTAATCACCACAAACTGTTCTTTGCATTAACCTCTGCTTAAGTCTCATATAGCAAAAGAACGTTGACTTAGTAAAACCAGTACAGTAGTACTAAGTCTGTACTGTTAAAATGTGACACTAGGTACTATGTGCCCTTCAAACTTTTTTGGGTGGGCAGGGGAAAAGGGAAGTGAACAGGTAAAAGCTCTTGATCCAGTCTATCAACTATAGCCTGAGAAAGCAGAAAGGGTTATAGGCCACATCGCCTTGATAACCTTCCTGTGTCAAACAGACAACTACCTACCAGATCACCTGTGACGCTGGAAGGAAAGTCGTCTCTGAATAGCGGTCCCCCGTAGTGAAACAAATACATGTTTATTAAAAAAGAACTATACAGAATCAGGACATCACCCTTTTCAGACAGATGAGATGTGTCATGTATTTTCTCAGTTGCAAGTAAGACAGTAATACTATTGTGGAGTCTCCACCTAGGTTTCCTTAAGTGAATGACTTTTACAAGTCTATTGACAATCTACATGTTCTCAGGATACCTTTTCTCCAGGTCGAATGCTGCCACATTTCAGGAGATTGATGTCAGCCTTGCAGTCATCCATGAAGCCACAGATCAACCGATAATCACTGAAGATAATGGCTGTCATTTTAGTGATGTACTGATGGCACTGGTATTCAGTGATGTTGCCTCTATGATCCACCAAACATGACACCAAGAAGCCTTTACCTACTGGTTCATCTGCACACTCCTTGATCTGTTGAAAAAAAAAAAAGAATAAAAAATAAAAATACAGTGGTTGCAGCTACTGAATTTAACCTTTTTAAAAAAAAAAATCCTCAAAGAAACTTGCATCTGTAGCTTCAAAATCTGCTGGCAAAGAAACCCTCTAGGCTTTAATTTGATTTTTAGTAAGTGGGAATACTTGAAAATATTTCAGAAATGAGAAATACCTCATGTCTGCCAGTATCTGAAGAAAGCAAACACAGCAACCTTGAGGATTACAAACTCTATTTCTCAATAAGCATCTTTCATAATAATCACATTCAACCCCTACAATCAAGTGGATTTGTAGAAAAAAATGCTAGTTTGACAAACCTTTAGTTAGAAAACTGAGTATATTACATCACTAAATCATACTTGGACCCCCCATTAGCCACCTGACCTCATACAATACAACATTTCAGCTAGAAGTGAGATCGATTCAAAAGCCAACACAGTATTTACTGAACTGTTTATAACTTGCTGGAAGCTAAGAATTACTATAAAGAAAAATCCTCATCAAATTCATTTTTATCAAGCTCTTATAGAAACTGATTGTTGGTACTAAAACATTTTACTCGGTGATTTAAAAAAAATAAATCATGGCTAACAAAAGCTGAATCTGTGCAGGGACTGGAAAAGCAGTGTACATGAATAGACAGGTCCCCAATATAAATCACAACCCGCATTGCTCAAGGAAGCGGACAATAAGGCCAAAAATGTCACCTTTGGAAGTAAAAGATGCAGGCAATTTTGACAGCGTCTTTCCAAAGGAAGTGGAAAACATGGTTACTTATCAGTTAAGGATGCTTCCCGATGAATCTTGCAATAGCAGTGCAATGTCTTGCTCCCAGGAGTACCAGGTTACACAGGCTCTTTTTAACCCTGGGAAGTTTGTGTTGAAATACTTGCCCAGTTTTGGTGTCCCCTGTTCAGGAGTATGCTGAAAACTGCAGTCATAATGATGCAGAAAGCATGCTTGACAGTCAGACACTAAAGTTCAGTGGCAACAGTTTTTTAAGCAATAGATACATGGGTTGACTTGATTACATGAAAGATTTGTTTCTGTACAAATACTGAAGGGCTCATCAATCTAAAGGGAGATCCATGGCAATCAATAATCCAGGCAGGTTCAGATACCAAGCAAGGGCGGCGCTAAGGGAACAGGCAGGGAACCATTTCATCAGTTCTCAAACACCAAGTCGGAATCTTTATACTGGAAATTTTAAAAAAATAGAGATCCATCTCTAGAAAGATATATTCTAATTCAAACAAGAATTAACTCAGGGCATCCTGTGACAGACTCATATAGGTCAGACTAGACGAATAAAACAGATCTCTCTGCCTCAGCTTATGAGGTCATTACTTTCTATATAACAAATAAAACATGCAACATTTTAAACACCATTATTTGAAGGCAGATGTAGGCTGGTAGAACATTTTGTATTTAATCTATATAGCTATTAGGAAAACATAGTTACTAAGGTCAACATAATTGTTCTAGATAAGGCATAAAATACATTTTGAAGTGAAAACACATATGATTCATTGCAGGCTGAAAGGGAGGGAGTTGAGCAAGCTCTCTTGGAGAAAGCTGCATCTTCGGTTTGGCCTCATTTCAGCTCAAGTACCACCAGCCAAACCAGCACACAACGGCAACATGCTGTTTTTGGAAGAGCCCAGCTTTGGAAACAGCCCCAGAGCTCCATGGCTTAGCCAGTGAACTGCCTAAAATACCAAGCGATCACATTATTGCCTGGCCACTTCTGAAGCAACCACCATTATCTGGTAGCCAAGTATAATTCTAGCTTAAAACTATTGTCAAAACTTACAAAAAATCACAACAGTTGAGAAAAAAAGTTGAAATTGAAATCTGTATTTAGCTGATAAAATTAAAGGGCACGTTTCAGAACACACTCAGTTGGGGCAGTCACCAATTCCCATATGACTTTTACTAGAAATTACTCTTCTAGTTGTATTTCGTTCTTAATAAAACGCAATACTTCAAATCAGAGCTCAGTCACCCAGCGAGAAAACACCTATCTGCTAGCGGGAATTAAAGAAAAATATTAATATGCTAACACTATATGTTAGCAGTATATGCCCACTATATATCTTAAAGACTGTTGTTGTAATACCTTTAAAAAATTAGTGGAATGGTTTATGCACCTGCCTCAGTATTAAATATCAAAAGATCAAACACATGACACTATTGTTCTTTATCCAACTTTTTTTTTAACTAAAAACCACTCACCAAATGGCAAAGTATCAGCATTTCACGTCATCATTCACCACAATTATAAGAGGAACAGCTAAAATTCTATATCCTCTTCCTACTCTTTTAGACATCATATCCCAGATTTAGAAGGCATTGTTTACAGCAATGCCAGACTGTCACTGTACAAAAGTAATAATTAAACAGACTGTTAAAAGAGCATTTTCAAGAATGTCTTGGTTGTAAAAATTCTGCAGCAGCCATATGACATAAACCAGAAAAATATAACCTTTCCTATGACTGCAAAAAAGTGGAATTCAACAGACTTGGCAGTGTTTGTTTTGGGAGCTACCAAATTCCAAGCACAACACCACCCTTTGATGCAAGCTGTTTTCCTTCCACTGTTTAATCTTCTAGCCTTCTTCTATTAACTATTTTCTTGATCTCTTCTTATATTAAATGATGGTTTCCCACTAATGCTAGTCTTACTGCAAGCTGATGCTGACAAGGGGAAGCAGAACCCTAGCAGGATATGAAGAAAATGCAATCGATTACCCCTCAACTACACAACTAATTCCCAAACTTTTCGAGTCAGGTTGCTGTTGACACCCTCAATTTCTCAGATCTTTGTGTATTCCTCTGAAATGAAAACTTTGTAAAGAATGGGGAACCACACAGGTGACTCCATCAAAACATGAGGACTTGGGTAACCACTCCTCTTAAACCTGCTCTGAGCACTGACACACTCCTCATATCTAAGCAAGTCTGCACCTCTGAAAGCTAGACCTATGGAAAATAAACTGCCAACACAAACTGGGGTTGGAGAGACAATCTGCTATTCATGCAACTGATTCTCTTTCAGGAAAACCTACTTAAAACACCACAAAGGAGCTATCATCTAGAACAAACTGAATTTTTTTTGGAAAAAAAAAAAAGGCAAGTTTATGGGTATGTGAAGTTATTCTGGTGGACAAGCAAATGATGTTTTTCAGAACACTCTTTAATGACTGAATTAAGTCGGCCAAAGCTCACACGGCTGTGGACAGCCTTGGTTCCACTGCTTCCCTGAAGTCTAGCTGAAAACTACCCCAACCAGAGGGAAAAGACCTCAGCTCAGACAGCTCCTGGATGGTTGAGCGCACAGCCTCAAGAGCCCCAGCACTAGCAGGAGGAAAGAAATGATTAATCAAGTAATCTTTGAAGCTGGGCTGAGGTGTGTTGAAGCTTGAGATACAGAGGAATAACTCCTAGCACAATCTAAAAGGAAGAAGTTCTGAACAGAGAGTCCTTGCAGTAATTAAACTTTGAGCTTCGTCGAAAAAAAAAAAAGTTGATTCATCATTTGACGTCTATGTGCTTATCCTTTCTGCTAGCAAGAATCCAAAACCAGTCTTATGCTAAATTCAGTGGAACCCCTGCTACACCAACACCGTTACAATTGTCAAACACTTGATAAAGAGGGGACAAATCCAATCCACAACAGATTTCTGACAAAGAGTCAGGTAAGAGCTGATGGGTTGTTAGTTTATCATTTCTTTCCCCTGCCCCTTTGCCCGGCACCACTACGGCAACGGGCTTTTTCGGCAAGGAGATCAAATTAATTATGCCTGCTAATCTGGCATGCAAGACTAGAGCTTCCTCAAACCCCAAACAATATTTGCACACTAATTCACTATCACAAAGAAATGAAAAAAGCCTTAGTGCCACAAGAGCAGCCATGCCTTGCTTCTGCTTACCTCTGCAATAGTGGACTTGCAGACTTCTCTGGCCACAGATTCAAACTTCGGATCTGTAGTCAGGTTCAGCTTGTAGTTCCACAAGAGCTATGGAAAGAGCATTTGTAGAAAGGGGGTTTAAGAGCTTCTCACGGAGAACGACAAATATTTTGCCTCAGAAAAGAATGAAACATCATTTATTCCCAATCTCTATCATCATCCTTCTACAGTGCAACAAGCAATGTAAAGTCTCCTTGACAACAACTTTGTCCCTTCATTTCTGCAATAATTTTCTCATACTGAACAAATTCAGGCAGTTAGAAGTCTCTCCATAAGGTCACGAGCCAACTCATTAAAAGGAAATACATCTAATGAAGACAATTTTATAATTGAAAGGATAAAACAATGAAAGCTGTAACTTGCTACCTGCTGCACATTTAGCAACGTTTTTAGCACACCACACCTTTCTGCGCCAGGGCTTGTCACCCTGATGCAAATGATCTAACAAAGATGAAGTCCTCAATATGAGCAGATTTCATACTGAAAGCCTACTAAAAACCTAGCAAAAAAAAGGTAGGAGACAATGCAGATGGTTCCTTCTGTGAGGGGCTGCGACCAGACAACTTTTTGAACGCAGATATATTTCAAACCTTTAAGAGGTTCTCTCTCGCTAAGCACAATGATATATTAGAGGTTAGACTAAAAAGCCTCGGTAAAGATGACTGTTCTTCTAGGAGCCAGAGATTAGCTCACGTAGGAGCCTCGATGTGTTGGGTCATTATACAAGAATCAATCTTGGGTAAGTCACACTCTGTGGATATATACACATCCCAGATGTCCTCCTGAGGCACCATAAAGTAAAAATACAGGGGAAGACAGCAAAACCTCAGCAAATTAATAGCTGAGATGTTGCCTGAGAGAAGTTCTATTACCTCATCTGTTTTTTTTCTAGGAACTTAAGTTGCATTTAAACATTTTTCATTAACTTAAAGATTAAATGGTTCTAAAAATTTGTTTTAAATACTCTGCCTTTGTGACAAAAAGATAAACAGTTTGGTCAAACTTTTACTCTGAAGTTTCAGTTGTACACAAAACAATCTAGGAAAACACAAAAACATGTTCGTACATAAGGCAAGCGGTTTTACGTCACCTCCAAGAGGGTGGAAGCACACATAGAGAACTAAAAATGGAATTAGCACAACTGCACTATCTTCCACACCTCATCTCATGGTTTTGGAGTTGTGAAAAGTTAAAAAAGGAGACGATGGGAAATGAGGGTATTTCAGAGGGAGCAAGCTGTAAATATATAGGCTTAATAGATAAAAGTAAATAAACAGGGAACCTGTCCTCGGAAAGAGTACTATAGACCTCTCCCAGCCAGGACGAGAACAAGAATGAGGTCCAACACCATAAGAATACATCTCTGCATTTGTAATCTCAAACTTTGGACAGTCTCCAAGTGAGACGTTCTCCAAAGGAACCTTCCCACAGACAGAAGGAAAGGTTAAACTTGCAGTTTTAGAAATCCTGATTTTAGTGCTGGGCAGTATTTTCCCAGGAGATGATGAGCAGTTGTACTACCAAACACTGCAAGGAGAGGCAAAGAAAACATCTGGACATGAGACATCTCTCTCTGTGGTCTAGTTTTTGATCACTCCCCTTCAATTTCTGCCTGGGAAAATGAGACTTTGCCCACATGTGAACGGCTTCTATAATCCACAGCAGCCCGACATCTGCCTTGTGGTAGAGATGTTGTCATTTAATCCGGCAGAAGAAGGTCCAACTTTGATTTCTAGAATTCTCAATTTCTTCTTCATTCGGGTAATTTCTGTCGGCACATTTAAACGTTGGGTAGATACATTTCAATTACTGGAGTTTTCCCTTTTTCAAAAAAGAGAGACTTAAACAGAAACATGATGTGTGCTTCATCTGATCCAACCCTGCACAACAGAGAATTACGGCGGCCAATGAAGTCAGGCAGTGCAGTGCTAGAGGTTAATTTACAAACACAGTTGGAAATTACTAGTTGTACAGCACGGCCAGGTTTCATTTCTGGAATATATCTTCCAATAAGACACCAAAATAGAGCTTCTCATGCACCCGAAACCAAGACCATCATTGAGGCATGCACTTGTCTGCGTTCAAGGCTAACCAAACAATTAAGGATCTTGACATGGTGTATTCTAACAGAATGTAAATGAGAGAAGCCAAAGGAAACCTAATATCAACCTTAGCTCTGATGATTATTATTTTTTTTTTGAGTCTCAGGATTTGAAGAGTCAGCTTGACAGCCTGAAAACTGGCTAACAGTTTGCTCACTGTTAAACAGTGCTGAGAGGAAATCTGTTCTAAAACCAGCCAAGTAGTTCAAACTGCCTCTAAATACCACACCCCCACAGTATTTTCCAAGCGAGTATAAGAATTTAGCAGCTGTGAAAGCAATACAGAAGGCTTCAACAGCTGAAATTAAGAGTTTAAATTCAGTACTACTCACATCTTTCCCAAAAGGAGCACATCATATTGCTCCCAGTAATTCACGGGAACCACCCCCCAACTATAAAATAGGAAAGACATCTGCTATCCTCCTCTGATACAGAAGTACAGTTTATAAAGCTCTTAAATAAATTCCACTCTGAAGTCTTACTGGAGACCACAGCAGCTATACTGGGTTAAAGAAGTCACCTTCTGTTCTTCCTCCATAAGCCAGTACAGAAACCCAAACGCGAACTCATCAATGCCTTTTGCGAACTACCAAACTCTGCAAAATACCTAAGGTTAATAAGGGATCTAAGGTGCAAATGCCATAGCTAGAGACTGAATAAAACAAAGCAATACTTACGTGATTGCAGTCTGAAGAGATTTCATTATCTGGCTGAAAGGAGAAAAAAAAAGGAGCGTCAGTTTACTACTGATGTGATGTATTTAACACACAGAAGAGTGTAAACTTCTAGAAACTAAGGTACTGTCAACTCGTTTTCATTGTAAGAAACAATTTGACATAAGCAATAGGAAATTTTAAAAGCTGCAGAAAAAGAGTGATGATATCTGAGTATCAAAAAAGTCGGAATAGCAGGTACTTTAGACACAATGTGGTCTTAACTCTACAGAACATAAATGGGACAAGAGTAACAGCATTCATGCAGACACTGCAAAAACATAATGAATGTGCTTGCGTTTGGCCCAATCGCCCCAACTAAGAAGGCAAAAAAGCATCTATGGGAAAACAAAAATGCGATAGGAGAGTTTTAAAGAAAAATAAGTATCATGCATACAACTGAGGGAGAAAGGGAGGACCCCATTCCCTCCCCGAGACTGAAGTGTTCGTATTCCCCATTTGAGAAGCGACGTCTTCTTTCAGCTGTACATGAGGGGGCCGGTTCAAAGCTGCCCTGAGATTTACGCCTTCAACCACAAGAAAGCAGTAACATCCAATATTCATACATCATTTCAAAATATTCACTATATTCTCGCAGGGACCTGCTTTGGAAAGAACTCCGGCTGCAAACCATCCTGTCTTCCTTCCAGCCTGAATAGCTCTCACACTGGAGAACTCCTTGGAAAAGAAGTTAATCATACAAATCCGTATCTCACCTCCATAGCAAAACAGCACAAACGCAGAATAAAATCACCTGGCCATCATACCCACAGAAAAATCACCCCTGACTCAAAGTCTCTGCTTCCACTGATACTTAAGATGCCAGACATGCTTTAAGAGCCACAGATGCTCAAAACCACTCAAAGCTTAAACATGTCGTTGACACTAACACGTTAGGCCTCAGATATTTGACATAAGAGAACTAACATTTCATCACTTTTGGAAGCAAGCAGCCTACATTCCAAAGAGTTTTTCAGTGTTTTTGCCACTGCACGACATATTACACCAACACTTGCCCACTGCCCATACAGAAAGCACGAACGTGAGTTTATGGGATAAAGAGAGCATGGGAAACGTTTCCAAGTTCTTAATTACAGCCATTATTAACTAAAGCACTTTCATTTTGTATAGCAGGAAGTGGCAGAAATTACCTCTCCACTTAGAACATAAAACACAAAACAGTACCTGAAGGATCACAGTAATTAATTGCAGTTTGGTCAGACTGACATCACCTAATATCATATCTTCCAAAGTAATCATAAATTTGAAAATTAGGATATCAACTCTTTTTAAAAGGCTAGCAGATGCCTGCTCGTTATCCTCAGACCACAGAACTGATTCTCACAACTGAAAACTAAGATGACATCCAAATTACCTTATTTTAAAGCAGCCTCTAAGACCAACACTATCGTGACTCACACGGTGGTTTTTCCTTAATTTGCTGCACCCATACTAATCATTCAGCAACAGACAGAGGTTTTAGACTAAGCCACTTTCAAAAGCTGAGAGTCAGAATGCCCTCCACTGAAGTTGCTGTCTCAGTCTTTTAGTCAAGGATAGTTTCTTTATAAAAATATATAGGCCAGCACTGCAATTCTCCTCTAGAGGACAGGACTTACTAACACATCTGCAACCAGAAGAATTTGTAAGGGCCACAGAGCACTCCCTCAAAACCCTTCTTAGTTGCTTCAGTGATTTTTGCATCCTCCGTCCTAGTAACCTTTGCTTCAGATCCACCAAAGATTAAAGCTCAGTTTTTCTGGAAAGATGAGCCCAGGAAGACAACAGACTGGTTCTCACCAAATTGGGAAGCTTAAACAAGCTTTTATTGAAATACACATTAAAATACCGCACATTGAAATACCAGCCTTCCCTGCACTCTGCAGCAAACCTCAACTCTGAGAAATCAAGCCTTACTCTTCTGAGTAATGGAAGTTAAATGGGATCTTAACTAAGCTTTAGTACTGCATACATTCACAGTTCAGTAATTAAATATGCAAAAGCATAAGATCTAGCGAACAATCCTTTAAATGTGGAACAAGATGACCACCTGCTAGCTAAAAGCTGTGATCCTTCTTCCCTCTTACCACTGCAAGCGTAGGAGAGGTGGGTTCAGTGGCAATGCTGACCTCCTCCTCTCAATTTAACTGAAGCAAAAGGAGAAAAATGATCTTTTTTATCTTGTGTCTGATAAACTGAAAGGCTGAGTTTGAGGAAGGGAAAGAAAAATCTCCCAGGCGCAACCCACACCAGTTCTGCCTTTCTAAGAAGACAGCCTGTGGCCCTCTATCTGCTTACATCCACCCAAGAAACCTTCCAAACAAGAGCAGTTTCAGAACAATATCCTTGTGTAGTAAGAGTTATGAAAAAAAAAATAGTAAGTTTCAAATTACCACTAAGAGAAGTCGAGGGGCAAGAAAAGCTGCATTGTGTCATTCCCACGTGGCGAGCTGGAGGAACACGGATGCTGAGACCCCTGGGGCAGGGGGAACGAGGAGAGCAGCCCAGATGGGCACCACGTGCTAGTCAAGGCATTTTAGGAGAGGAAGCTGACTCCACTTACATCTCCTAATTGAAGGATTAAAAACAGACTTTACAGAAAGTACGTGCACCTCTGGGCTCACAGCAGTTTTTGCTGTTTAGCAGCTTCAGTGGGAATATATTGCCTCCTTTTGCAGTTCTCTAAAACACTCTCCAAACTCTTTCACGCACTAACACTCACGTTCCAGAGTATGAACACCACTTCCTACCTCCCAGGAAAAGCAGAGTTTAGAACAAGTGCCAGCTACAAGAAAACCTGAACAGAAAAAGCATTTCCTTACATTCAATCACATACAAATCGTACCGCATTAGTATTGTGAACTCTACAGAGAAACACAAAGGTTTGTATGAAGTCATATCATCACCAGACTATGAGGTCACCAACACCGTTGTGTTTAAAAGTGCCTTTTCTCATCCGCCGGATCTCAACTCACCAAAACAAGCCACAACAGCCAATCCTTTCTAAACCTCCCTGCTTCAGCAGCCTTATAAAACTAGGTCAAAAGTACACAGCAAATGCGCAACCCACCACCGCTACCCAGGCTCAAGGCATTGGGTGTTTTAGCTTCAGAAACGGACCATCATCATGCTGGTTCCCAGCAATACTTACCTAGTCATAGCTCTATCATGAACCAGAGTCATCCATCACGCACCTAGTGAAGAGCACACTGCCTGGGGGGCAATCACTGTCCCCTCCATAGCTTGAGTCAGAGCCCCTTTCAGCTGTGTATACAAAACAGACTTGATTTGGGCTTATTTCATCACATCCTAAAAAAATAATTCACACCACTGGATTTTGAAAAGCAAGGTAAGAATCCTAATGAACTACTGTGGATGAAACTCAAGGTCTTAGGAGAACTCTCTGCAGGGATTATTTTAATCACCAGCAGCTGCTTGACCTTGCTTTCCTTTGCTCCCTTGCAAAACAGAGAGAGTCTGAATGAAGTCAACCACCCAAGTGCCTTGATTCCCAGAATTTAATCCCTCCTTAGAGCAGAACAGGGGATGACAGCAGATTTTTCCACTATTCTTTTAATGCAAGAGGAGCAGCGCACTTCCTGAAGAGTAAGGACCAGGCATATTTCAAACACTCGCTATGGATTATCTTCAGGCATTGGAGACAACCAACTTGGGACTCGCTCAAGCAAACACCACCGAGAACCAGCATGGAGAAAATCAGCAAAATAAAAAGGCAATTTGGTTGTGGAATGGAGGAAGCCAGTAGATGTTCTCTCCCTAAATTCAGGAACAGGTTGCAAAAAGATTAAACAAGTCAGTTAGGAGAGGATGTTAATTACAGCAGCTACCTTCCCATGAAAAGGAAGGCAGGCAGAAGTCCAGCCAGACTGCAGGTGTTCCCCAATTTATTGCACCGTCACACATACGATACACTACAGAGCATATGGATACGCAGTACAGGCAGCGCATGGTTCCCAGTCACAGCATTGGAAGTTTTCCACTCTGTCCTAAACAAACACGTTTATCAGTAATATCTGTAGAGAAACACTAGAGCAGACCTGCTGACCCAGGAGCTTATAATGAGGAGGCTATCAAGCTGATAAAGGGAAAATTGACTTCTTAGTTATGTCCTTCCCACAGGTAATAGCAATCCCTTTGCAGCAAAGACATCCAGCCAGGACAGCAAACTCACAATAAACCGATTCAATTCGCAGGTATCAAGCTAGCTAGACTTAGGACACCAGAAAACAGCACAGGCTGGATGCAAGGTAGCCATCAAGGAGAGATCTAAGGGAGTCACACTCCTGCAAACCTGATCCCCTCCCGAAGCAAACACTAGAAATGATTCTGCAGAAGAATCTGTGGAAACAAGAGCAAAGTAGTCTAGGCAAGAATCAACACGGCTTTTGTAAAAGAAGAAAAACCACACATCACACAGCCACCCATGTTTCAAAACTACTGAAACATCCCACAGTTCTTTGCCAACAAGCATATGGCTACAGTAAACCATTTTCACACATTCTGCAATCCTGCAAGAGTCATGTGCGTTAAAAAAAAGTTAAAACCAGTGAGTGATAACTTAAGTTCAAAACAGATAAGATGCTGTAATTTAATTACACATTTAGAGCGCAATGAAAGTTAAACTTGTTGAGCTGAGCTTGAAATATTCTCTAATGACGGTGAACTGCTTGTACTAAAAACAAACCCAGTGTTGTCATGTCAGCAAAAAAACTCTACACTTATCCACGCTTTGAAAAAAGCCAGTTTGAAGCATGGGACTGTGCATCTATCATGCAGCAAAGTTATCAAGCTCCTAGTTTCCATATACTTTGCTTATTTCACATAAATAATCTTTTCCCCACTTACAAACAGAGCGCCAACACTGCAAATCACTTCATCAAATAACTATTTCCACATTGGTTAGGCACTCCTAGTTTATGCACACTTAAAACAAGTTATACACAAACACCTAACAACCGCCTCCAAAACATACACAG